AGTTAGAAGCAAGAAAAAAAATTTATTCTTTAAAAAAACTGTCAGAAGAAAATCGTCAACTCTTGGGTATTTTCATGTTTCTGTACTGAGTTTCACATGCAAAGGAATTTTTTAAAATAAAACGACTGGAAAATGGCTCTTTGAAAACCACCTCTTGAACACCCAGAAAAACTATTCATTTGAATCAAATAAAGTTTATGTAACACTCCGATTCCATTGAAATGTTCAATAGAAAATATTCTATAGAAAAAATCAATAGAATTCCATTTTTCTGTACTATTTGTTGCATTGAGATTTTTTTTGTAGAATGTCCTCGGCTCGAATTTCCTAAGTTGTTTTCATTTGGTTTCCTTTTCTTTCCTTTTCACGAGATCGAAGACGCGCTCCGCGCGTCTGACAATTAATAGATGTTATGTGCTTCATTACGTTATTATTTGAGTGGATTACAATCAACAAGTCCTTTCACGTATACGAATTTTTATAGTATTACTCAGGAGAAATTCGTCGGCAGCGATGAAAACTTCTATTGAAAATCCATGATTTTTTTCTTGTTGCGAATGAATGGAAATTTCCATCGAGAATTAATAGGAAATACAGCGAAAGCTGCGAAAACTTGCATTAGGAAGCGAAGATTTCTGGGATTTGCCATAGAAATCTATCGAAACTTCCACTAAAAAACCTTGAAAAAATCGTTGAAATCCATGAAAACTTCAATTGAGAATCAATACATACTCCGTTGGGAACCACGAACACTAACATTATCACCAAAATCAGTATCATTATCATCACCATGTATGCTATTTCCCTTTCAAACATTTGGGAATAAACGCGTAACATCTCCTTTTTATAGAAGAATGATGAAGAAAATCATACAAAAAAACATAGAAAAATCGAGCCCAAAAAATATACAGAAAGTATCTCAATAGAGCAAATAGTATAGAAAAATTAAATTCTATTGACTTTTTCTACAGAATATTTACTATTTACCATTTCAATAGAATCAGCCAAAAACTGATGAAAATTTTAACAGAAATCCAATAGAATCTAATAGAATTGTCTAGCCAATTCGCTCGGTTTTTCTATTAAATTTTTTGATGCGTGAATTCTCAATGATGTGGCTTTGAACACCATTCAGGGAGAAATTATTTGTGAAATAAATAAAAATTTGTGAAATAAATTGATATTGGGTAGATATTTCGGGATTCTGATTATTGAACGCTTAAGAGCAGTAGCTGAATGCGGAGATGAAGGGTTTGAATGTCTTATGCTTCGAAAAATATTCCACGTTCACGTTTCTCGGTTTTATTGGATGAGTCTTTGAATATAATAAAGGGATTTTTATTCTCTATTGAGAACATTCTACATTCTACATTGTTGGAAAATTACTCTTGAAATTTCAAGTAAAAAATCGTAAAATTGTTAACAACAAACAATTTACATGGAATTTCCATTGATCCTGTTATTGATAAATCAGTCAATGTTCTTGAATATTCAATGAAATTTGATTTCTCAGGTTCATACGACAATAAAAATGACTAAAAATCAAGAAAATTCAGGCAATTTTCCTTCTGAATTTTCAATCTGTTTCTTAATTTTTGCGATAGGTATGAAAATCCAAATTGTCATTGAAAATTCAATGATCATTCATAATGAAAAACTTAATTTTATTGAATTTTCAAGATGAATCAGAAATTCCCTGAGGAATTTAGTCTTTTTTAGCGAATTCGTTACGTTTTTCTGTGAGATATTCTCGTGTTTGTGTTCTTTCTTCTCTTTAGAAAGAATAGAATGAATTCGATTACATCCATGTATCACGATTTTGTATCGCTCGAAATATTAAGAGACGCTGAGCAAAAGTCACCCATGTGTACATGAAGTAAGTTAATTATTCCGAAATTATGAAAAAGATGACATTTCCGCTGGTGTTCCTAGGTGAATACACTCCAAGTAATGAACCCGAGCAGAGTAACCCCCTGGCTTGTAAAATTGGGGACACGTCGAAGACGAACTTGAACTTCTTATTAGTTTTTGGCCGATTCTGTTGGAACATTCTATAAAAAAACGTCAATAGAATTTGATTTTTCTGTAGAACTGATTCTACTGAAATATTTTCCATAGAATTTCTTCGGCTTCAATTTTTCCAGTTTGTTTGTTTGATTTTCTTGATGAGAAGAAAGGAAAAATAGAATGAAAAAAAAAGGAGAAAATTTGAGCCGAGGAAATTTTGTAGAAAAGATCCGAAGAGAATAAGTTACATAGAAAAATCGAAATCTAGATGATTTTTTGCATTGAACATTTTAATAGAATTGGCCAAAAACTTATCACTAATAGACTGTTCAATAGAAATCCAATCAAATTTTCTAACAAATTCGTTGGGTTTTTCTATTGAATTTTTTCGTGCGTGAAATTACCCTCACGTTCATTGAATTTTCCTGGATCAACGGAGAAAAAATTCACTATTCGTCTGGCACTTTCTCCCCCAGATACTGTGAAAAAGTACTCAAAATCGAGTTCAGTTCATAATTACTTGATTTGTTCGGTAATTTTTTTCCCACTTTCTTCTCCGTGTAATAGAATTTCTAATAGAAGTCCAATAGAATTTTATAGCAGATCCGGCTGTTTCTATAAAATTTTCGCGGGCGGGAATCATCTCTCATAGGGCGGCATGTCACTCTTATCTAGCCTCTCTTGGTATTAATAAAGATTTATTTGATCCTCTAGCCAGAAAAAATATTTCTTTTCTCCTTTTTTTGTGTCATCCGATAAAATACACACGATTTCTGAATTTCCATTGCATAAACTGAAGGCCTGCAGTACCTCCACGAAATGGAAATAGTCCACCGCGACATAAAATGTGAAAATGTTTTCCTGACAGCCAATAATAACGTGAAATTAACGGATTTTGGTTTCGCACGTTATATAATCGACTCAAGAGGTAAAAAAGTCTTGAGCGATACATTCTGCGGTTCCCTGATATACGCTGCGCCGGAAATTCTGCGAGGAGCTCCATACAATCCAAAAGCGGCAGATATGTGGTCCCTCGTGGAAGTTCCGGAAGAAAGTGGCTGACAGTTTCAGTGAGCAAGTGAAAAAGTTGGTGACAAATCTTTTGGAGCCAGAAGTTACGAAGCGTCGGACTGCGGATCAGATTATTCACGACAGCTGGATTGCCATGGATCCGAGATTAGTCGTCATCACACCTGCGGAACAAGCAGCTCTCAATAATCCTTGCTAATGCATGCTAATGTTTATTTAAAAAACAGAATATTGTATTATATTTTGAATTAATACTTTGAACATTTCATAGTTGCATAGAGACGATCAGTATCCACAAAAAAAGAGTCGATAGGTGAAGGCTCGAAGGTTGAAGAAGTCACCGTGCTCAGGGATTATAGAAAAACAGTGATATTCGCACATTTACGGGAAAGTCAATCAGTGACTTTGTGTTCGATTTATTTGATTTGGATTTTTTTACTTCGCAGACTCTGAGTGCTTCCGCTATCGATAATAGAAGTCTTCCGCGAACTTCCGACATGAATCACCTGGGGAGTATTATCGGATAGTTGTAATGATTGATAGTATAAGGTTTTGGAAAGAGAAAATATGAAAAAATAAGAGGGAATTATGAAAGAATGTCATGAAGATTGGGATTTTATGAAGCGATATTCTGGGGCTCTGGACAATGCTATTGAGGATCGAAAGAAGAATAAAGAGAAGTTCAGAAGACAATCGGTGGATTATAAACTCTCGTATTTATTCATTCGGAATGCACATTATATTACATTGTGAATTAATACTTTCAATCGCTCATAGTTGTATAGAAATGGTAGGTGAAGGCTTGAAGGTTGAAGACGTCACCACGCTCAGAGATTCTGAAAAAAAAAAGTAATATTTACATGCACGGAGAGAAATGTTCAGTAAAAATTACGGAACTCACAATTCGCTCACCGATTACGGAATTGACTCAGAAAATTTAAGTGATGGTATCGTAATTTTTCACAGGAGATTCAGGTAAAAATTACGGAACGCTTTGGAAAAATTTCGTCAGAATTCCGTAAAATTTCCTAGAACCACATTTCGCTCCGGGATTACGGAAAAGATACGTAATTTTTATTGAATATTTCTCTCCGTGTATTCATTAAGGAGTCAATTCTAATACTATTTTTAATTCCTTCGGGATGACTATTTATTTTGCTTCGCAGACTCACTGTTAGAAAATTACTCTTGAAATTTCAAGTAAAAAAGCTTGAAATTTTTAACAATGACAAAGTTCCATGAAATTTCTGTAGAATTCTTCATTGACGAATAAGTTAATTCCTTGAATATCCAAGTAATTCTCAATTTTCAGGTCCATACAGTACTAAAAAACCATGAAAATTTTGAAAATTCAGGCAATAACTTCTCTGAATTTTCAAACTATTGAAAATTCAAGCTTTCATTGGAAAATCAATGATTCTTTAACATGAAAAACCCAATTTTCTTGAATTTTTAAGATGAATGAGAAATGTAGTGAAGGTTTTCATTTCAAATTTAATTCAAACTTACAACATTGAAAATTCAGATGACATTGTGACTGAAATTTCAAAAAATTTCTAACAGTGCTTGGAGTTCTTCCGAGTTCATAGTTCATCTGTTTGCGGGAGATTCAGCGGATAGTTGAAATGATTTCACGAGATGTATGGTCAGAACATCGGTTTTTCTACTAGTTTTGGAAATAGGAATTATGAAGAATTAGAAGGAACATTATGAAAAAATTATGTGGTGTTTGAAAATGAAAAATCATGAAGAATTCTTTAATTTCCCTTTCAAGATTTTCACGGTCAGACTATATGGACCTATAAAATTGTAACAGCCTCGGTCTAACATTTCAGCGATGATCATAATCCACTTCGAAGTAAAATTTTATTGTTTCATTTTATTATTGCAACATTTACGGGACATTACCAGTGCATTCTACTGAATAAATAGTGTTTTTTTTCACAAATACTCCAGTTACAGCAACTATTGCTTGACGATTGCTTTTATTTAACCCAAAAAATGTCGGCTTTCCCGGAATTATGGTAAGTCTAATTTTTTTTCTCATTATATATGATCCACGGAATTCATATCCGTACTGATTGAAGAATTTCGAATTTTGGGAACTTCTGGTTAATTGCTTTCAGGATAATATTCGCAGTCTTAGCTGTAGCTTTGCCATTGCCTGGGGAATCTGAGCTCATGAAACCACATGTCTGTCTCACAGAGGAATGTCAAGAGATAGCGCAGATGTATGCCGAAACAATGAATGAAACCGTCGACCCATGTGAAAACTTCTACAAGTACAGTTGTGGTGGTTGGGCCAGCAAAAACCTAATTCCAGACTATGTAGCTTTCTGGGATCGTTCCATTTCCACACATCGCGCGCACGAGAAACTTCTGAAAAGTACTAAGACTCTTCTATTCTACTTTATCTTCTTTGCTCACTGAATGTGTGAATGAATGAATGAGAAAAAAAAATTAGCGGAATTAGCGAAGACTTTTAGAATCGAATTCCATCGAATTCTCTACGTTTTTCTATGAACCTTTTTTTTGCGTGCAGGTATGCTGGAGAGCCCGCCGGAAGTCACCGATATTCTTCCGATTCAGCAAGCGAAGACGTTCTATCAGTCATGTATGGACATCGGTCAGTATTCGAAAATTGTGAACTCTACTTACACTTAAGGATTTCCTACTATTTATTTAAGTTTAAGGATATCCAACTACTTTGATTATTTTTTCTCCAGTGAAATGTTTTTCTACTTTTGTAGTCGAACATCAGAGCTTTCATTTGTGCCCCATTTGACTCTAAGTTTTCGGACATTTTACAATTTTATTATTTAGACTGTGCAGGTCTGAATTTGAATCTCGACATTGAACCGTAAACAATCAATTAAGGATAATCGGGCGAGCCCGGAGGGTTAGAAAAAAAGCAACCACTTTTCTCTTTTATTTTTTACGTATTCTTTAAATGATGGAAAAGGCGTGTGCAAAGTTTCAGACTGCTGGGGAACATGGTTAATTTATTATGAATTTTTGGAAAAGTGGTCATTTAACCTGTGATCTTATGGAAATTACAAAAAAAACTGCAAAACTCAAGGAAAACAAGCAGGGGTTCTAGATTTTTTGGCCGAAGCCATCTGACCGTTACTTTATGTGTTATAACTCTTTTTCTTTTTTTCATTTCTACCAATCCAATTGGTAGTAAGCTTCCGAATGGATCTGTAATAATACTATTAAAGAAAGAAAAAAATAGAAACACCAAACCCGCTCAGATTAGATATCAACAATGTCAGTGGAAATAACTGCCTCCTGATGAAAAAACAGACAAACGGAAATATCTCGAAAACTTTGTATGAACGGGTATATATGTTTTGATTGATTCGGATAGAAGGCATCGAAACAAATATTTTGAGAACAAAAAATTGAAATCGGCTGCATAGTTTTTAAGCTATTGCACATAAAAGGTTTCCAGAGAAAGTCGAATATCTCGGAAGCTACCCATGCGATTGAGCTTATTTTCAATAGGAAGGATTGTTATCATGAGAGGAAGATTTTGTCCAAATTTTAAGTTGATATCTCAATTTTTGCACAAGCTAGAGTGATTACAAGGATTTTTATGAAAAAACAGAAAAACGGAAATATCTCGAAAACTTTGTAGGAACGACTGTATATGTTTTGATTGATTCTAATAGAAGGCATCGAAGCAAATATTTTGAAAAAAAAATTGAAATTGGTTGCGTAGTTTTTAAGATATTGCACATGAAAGGTTTTCAGACAAAGTCAAATATCTCGGAAACTACTCATGCGATTGAGCTCATTTTCAATAGGACGGATTATTATCACGAGAGGAAGATTCTGTCCAAATTTCAAGTTAATATCTCAATTTTTGTACAAGCTAGAGTAATTACCAGGATTTTTATGAAAAAACAGAAAAACGGAAATATCTCGAAAACTTGGTATGAACGGGTATATATGTTTTGATTGATTCGGATAGAAGGCATCGAAAGGAATATTTTGACAAAAAAAATTGAAATCGGTTGACTAGCTTCGAAGATATTAGCGAAAAACGATTTAAAAACGAATAGCTTTTTCTCAAAAACTATTTGATTTATCGGGCTGAACTTTTGCATAGAGTTAGTCCTCGTTAAGGTCTATAATTTGACAAAATTTCAGATCTTTTCCAAATTTTCAATTTTCCAAAAATCGACCACCGCAAAGGTGGCAATGGACATTGACACCGACAGACATGGTCGCCAAACTTCGTATTTTTATGTTTCAGACCATTCTACATCATTTCCAATCAAAATTGAAAAATGTGAAAACAGCACCATTACAATACTTCCATTCGGAAGCAAAAAACAAGGCGAATATTTTGAAAAAAAAAAAGTGAAATCGGTCCACTAGTTTTCGAGATATTACACATAATCGACTTTCATAAAAAATAGAATATCTCCGGAACTGCTGGACCGATTCAGCCCAGTTTCAATCCCAACCGTTCTTATCATAAGACGGAGATCCGGTCCAAATTTCAAGTTGATATCTCCATTTTTGCGAAGGCTAGAGAGCGTACAACGATTTTTTGAAAAATACAGATAAGTAGAAATATCTCGAAAATTTTGCAGGTACGGCCATATAGGTTCTGATACTTCTGATTTTTCTCATACAATTCAATTAGCAAATTTAATGATTGAAAATGGTTGGATGTATAGAGTGTGATCTGTACCAAACTGTAAAAGATGCTTGGATATCCTTAACGTATATCCCTATAAAACGTGTTTTTCTTAAAATTGTCCCCATGTTTTTCATAGATAATGTTTCAAATAGTCCGCAGTTATTGAAGAAATGCTAACTAGCTGTACTACACAGTTTAGGAGATGATAAATAATAATGCGGACTCCTAGCGTGCGAGGCCTAGGTCAAACGGTGGTTATGTGTCCCACCGAACTCGATTTTTCCGTTTTATGAGAAAAAAATTCCTACCATGTTCTTGAAAAACTAATCCGTGATAGATCGATAAATTCGGAATACGCTGAATTTTTTGTAAAATTTTGTACTACATAGTTTCTGCAATATTTAACTGTAAAAAATGTAAATTTCGTGCAATTCCTTATTTGATTCAAAAAATTAATTAACAAATAATTTCTTACTTGATTCAAACAGTTATTGTTGCCTGCATCAACAACACATGAGCATAGAAAAACTCAATAGCTTATGAGAATGCAACAAATTAAATTATTTACAAGTTTTTTCGGAATTCCATAGGGACTAACTTTTGGGTCCGATTGTCTTGGGATATATCTTAAGGGGAACAGGAACCCCTATGTCTGTATGAGCTTTTTGAATTGTGTTTTTTCATACAATTATTAATTATACACACAATACTATTATTAATTATATATGAAACGACTGTATCCACTCGACCATTGCTTTATTGAGTCAATGAAGTAGTTTCATAAATAAAAAATACTAATTGCCGGAGAACACACAATTCTATAAGTTCCTATAAACACAGGGATTCCACCTTAAGTGGTTTCGCCTTAAGGGAAAGGTTCTTTTTAACCCTAGACTGGTCACCATGCGAGGGAATTGCCGCAACACGTCGTTTTATTCACCTTGCCATCGACTGTTTGACCGGAAAAATTTGAGAAAAATTGAATTCGTCAATTGAAGTATCTGGAAAATTCTAGTATTTTTTTTTCAATACTGTATCCTTAATTCTGGGAGAAATAAAAATTTCCAACAGGTGAACAATTTTTTCCCGTGTTAAATGAAATTGCCTGTTGGGCGACGTTGCTGGGAACTCGCTAAACGCGCCTGGGAAGTGTAGAGTGGATTCGGCAACGCTGGAGCCTAAATAACACGGCGGCACTCTCCCGCGAAGGTGACTAAAGTCGCATTTTCCCGTCAGGTGACCAGACTAGGGTTAAGGGCAGACTACTATGAGTTTTAAAAGTCGTGGGTTATTGGAGTGAGACTTAATACGTTGAAGATCGATTATATAGATCTGAAAACGAATAATTAGTGCAAAAAACAATTTTTTTATTGTTCGTTTACCCGACAACGCTTAAAATGCCAAAAACAGTCCAGGGCCTCCAATTTTTGAGCTACGAAGGATTTTGTTTTTTCAAAACTTTCGGAAAAATATGTGAAATAACAATTACGACCTAATTTTTTTTAAATTCGCCTCTTACAGGGCTAAATTTGCTTTTTTTGTTTTTTTTACACAAATAGTGAATTTTTTATATAAAAAAAAAACGAAATCAGCTGTGTAGGAGTCGAATTCCAAAAAACCGGCTTGTAATTGTTGTTCCACTCATTTTTTCGAAAATTTTGAAAAAAATTCTTTTATAGCTCAAAAATTGGAGGCCCCGGATTATTTTTAGCATTTTAAGCGTTTTCGAGAAAACGAACAATAAAAAAAAATTTTTTTTTTGCACTAACTATTTCTTTTCAGATCTATATAATGGATCTTCAACGTATGAAAAGTCTCACTCCAATAACCCACGACTTTTAAAACTCATAGTAGTCTCCCCTTAAGGGGTAATACAGAAGTCTTCCATTTCCTCGAAATTTTCAAACAAATTTCATGCTCAAAGTTATTAATATTTTCAACATTCAAAGCGCATAGACCTTCATCATCGCCTCCTGGAGATTAATGTGTTTTTATTTGTAAAAATATCGATAACTTTTAACAGAAAATTTGTTCAAAAACTTCGAAAATTAACGGCATGCTGCTACCCCTTAAACCTAGATTGGTCACCATGCGAAGGGATTGCCGCAACGTGTCGTTTTTTTCGTCTTGTCACCGGCTGGTTGACCGGAAGAATCCGAAAAAATTTGAATTCGTCAATTAAAGTATCTGGAAAATTTTAGTATTGTTTTTTTAATATTACATCCCAAATTCTGGAAGAAAAAAAATTATTTCCAACAGTTGAACAATTTTTTCCTATGTTAAATGAAATTGCCCGTTGCGCGACGTTGCTGGAAACTCGTTAAACGCGCTCGGGCAGTGTAGAATGAATTCGGCAACGCTGGAGCCTAAATAACACGGCGGCAAATCCCCGCGGAGGTGACCAGAGTCGCAAGTTTCCGTCAGGTGACCAAACTAGGGTTAAAGTAGCTCTACCCCTACGGCTGGAGTCATTGAGTCTATTTCACAAAAAATACATTCTAAAAATCAGTATTTCTAGCTCTAAATTATTAAAATAAATCATAGAGGTCATGAGCATAAGCATTATCTTATCTCAATTTTTTTTAAATAAAGTGCACATAAGCAGTTTTTCAATTGACTAGCTTGCAAATAACTGTGACAACGCCGTACGATCATACGGGAAGTTGGAGACGAGCGGAGCGGGCGCCATCACATGGTCATTGTTGTCATGTCTATTCCTGTTGCCAGTATTATTAATAATAAAAAAAACTAAACGATAAATCGTTATCCAACAGGTCCCAATATTTTTTATTATTTTTTTCTCGTTTTTAGGAAAAAAATTAGATTTTAATCTTTGTTTTAACCGGAGTTGTGATAAATTCAGCGTTTTTCACATAAGACCCTGTGTTAAATAATGGATTTTCAACATTTCCTTTTAGAAAAACTTGAACGACAATTAAATGAAAAAAATTACGATTCCGAATCACACCGAGTTGTTAGGCGATTTGTTGTAGTTTTAAAAAATCTTTGAATTGAAATATAACCCCAAAAGGGTAGAGCTACTTTAAAAGAATATACTTTCGCTTCGTTCATTGTAGCTGCTCGTAATGCAAGTATAGTCAATACTATCGCATCATTTCTTGAGAGCAATGGTGGCTGGCCAATGGCCATGAATTTTCATGACTGGAAGGAAGATGACCGTTCATGGCAAGAAGTCGATGCCAATTTCGAAAATTTGACAACTTATTACGCATTCTACAATTTTATTGGCGCAAAAGGGCCCTGGGTGAGTTCATGAAAAGAATCCTAGATTGATTAACGTAATCATCAAACTTCTAGCTGCGCATGCTTCCCCCCATGGACAATGAGATTCTCAATAATTCCAAAATTTTATATCTTGTCGACTTAATCATTCGTCATAATCACGCCAATGTTTCTGCGGCGCAACTAAAGAGTGATATCGACGATCTATTTATTTTTGACCAGAAATTGGGAGAGGTAATGAATTTAAATTGTTATCACGTCTCTTTCAATTTTCCCTAGGCCTTCAGGTAACTGAAGGTGACAAATTTATCTCGGGCCTTTTTAATGGATAAGATCATTTTTAGGCAAGAGAGAATGGAAGCCAGTGGAAGTTGCAGTTGCAGAATCTTACAACATTTATTCTCGAATGGGAAAAGAAAATTCAATCAGAACCTGATCCAAAAACTGTGGTAGAATATTAAATCCTACTAAAACTTTTCTAAAAATGAATGAAGGAGGGAATCCGCATGATTTTCCCTTCTTTTTTTCATTTGACGTTTGGGACCTCAAATAGTTGATTTTTCATCCAAAAACTTTTTATATGAATCCTCATGACATGATCTTCCTAGTGCATAATTATTTGTCAGATGACGCAATTTTTTTTTTATTTCTGCCGTTTTGCTAGCAATATGTTATAATGAATTCGTGCGCAAAGATATTCGGAAGGACTGCTCCATGCAAGTTCCCTGTGTCATATATCCCGTGAGGGCATGACAAGATCACAAATCATTTGAATTCGCATGTGCAGTTTCTTTTCGAGGGACACACCGCAGCGCGTTGTTTTTCTTAAATTACAATTGCCTGCCTAACCGGAAAAATTGAAAATAATTCGACTTTTTCAATTAAAGTATCTAATAAATTATAACAGCTTTTAGGAAAACAATTCCCGAAATTCAGATGGGAAACAAAATATTTCCAATAGATGAATTATTTTTTCTCACGTTAAGGATATCTCAGTACAGTAGAGGCTTCGTATGAGTTACCTTAAAGACAGTAGGAGAGTGGAAACCCGGGAACCCCTGTGCCCCCACTATGCGCGCCCATAGAGAGGAGAAGAATAGGGATCGACGGGTTTCAAATAAGATACCTCGCTCGTTGTGCCCGAATTAAATGAAATTTTCATTTTTACTGAATGAAAATCGATAACTTATCAATTTATATGTGTTTAATGTTTTAAATTTGTATCGCTCGCGTTCCCCTTTCTCTCTAAACATAACCCCGCGTGATAGAAGGGCAGCTGATGTTGGTGGACTCGAGAAGAATCGCAGACGAAAAATTACGATTTTTCGATGGGAAAAATGTAAAAAAAATCGATGTATATTTCCATCACTTGAAAAAAGTGGTGTGACCCCCCTTAAGGTCATTGGACCCTCCTCACTTTGTTCGTCCCTCCCATTTGATTCTTAACCCTTCTGTAGTCGCACGCCTTCGCCGCACGTCGTTGGTCGCGTTGTAAGCGCTGCGCGGTCCGCACATTCTCCAGCGCACTGTTGCCAGAACCATACGACACTATAAACATATCACTGGCCAGCGACTCCCCCCTCCGCATACGTTGCTTGGGACTATCACAAGGGTCGGCAACACCGCTAGCCGCTAACCGCACTTGACAAAAAAATTAATTGAGAAAAAATTGTCAGTGCAAGGCAATCCTACCGTGTTTAATTTCATCAGGATACATCATTTGAGGAACTCGTAAATACGCAAAGCGTAATTCATCACATTTTTAGAGATATCGTGAAAATAACTTAAACGGCGGCGTTCCGACCACAGCGCGACCACTGAAGGGTTAACACCGTTTGATCCTTATAACTACTCTCTCCCCGTTGAAAAATGACCGGGGCCATAAGTATCTTATAAGAAGCCCACGGAATATAAACATGTGGGTATATTTTTAAAAGATAAAACAGCTGAATAATTCTAAACACTTTAATCGAAATAGTTTATGTACAATTGTTTATTTTAAAAAAACACTTTAAGAAAAACGGTTAAATCGTCTAATGCCTCTGACGAGGACTTCGTCTACTTCTACGTCTTCGACTTCGATGTTCGTCTAATAGTTCCCGACAATGAACTGCACTCCCCGTTGCACCCTCATCCCTTAAATGTACACCTTTGTTCCTCCTAGCGTTCCCCCACTACCACGCAATTTCTGGGCCTCACTCGCCATTTCCATATTTGGAAGTTTTCCCGAAACGTGGCAGCGTAGGTCAGCTAGGGGGTCGTGCGTCATCGATGAGGATGCTACAGCGTTATCGTAATAAAACAATAAAACTCTACGTCTAGACTTAATCCTACGTCTCGTCTTAATCCTAACTTAATAAAATACCCTAATAAAATATTTTCCTTAACGCCTGAAATACTTTACAATGTAACTACCATCGCGTAGTTCCTCAACGTATAAAAGTGCCGGGAGTAGGGGTAGGCCTCGACCACTCGGAACGCGAGGTATCTTATAGAGAGGTATCTAATACGAAGCCTCTACTGCACTTCTCTCCACTGGGTAGAGAGAGAAAGTCACAGTTCGAATGCAACTGTAGTAAAACACGGATTCTTTCACTAATTCAGTAATTTCGAAGCTCTGAGATTATTACTCGATACAGGTAAACTGGAAAGAAATGATTCAACGTTGGGCCTTTACCACCCGTGAAATACCCGGTGGTATAACGCTGGAAATCGATAGAAAATATTACTTTTCGTTGCCAGAAATATGGAGGAACACCACTAAACGAACAATTGGTAATCAATTATTCAATCTTCTCCCATCAATATCTGATAATATCCCACGGAGAGAAATATTCAATAAAATTACGTATCTTTTCCGTAATTCCGCTGCGAAATGTGGTTGTAGGAAATTTTACGGAACTGTCACTGAATTTTTCCGGAGCGTTCCGTAATTTTTATTTGAATCTCCTGTGAAAAATTACGACATCGTCCCTTACATTTTCTGAGTCGATTCCGTAATCGGTGAGTGAATTGTGAGTTGCGTAATTTTTTTCGAACATTTCTCTCCGTGTCAACGATACTCGTTGTAAAGAGTGGTAGATCCAGATATGAAGCATATCTACACTGATAGAAAAAATGGAACGATTCAGTTGCACCAAACGAGCCTTCTTAACTGTTCCCGTGATTCGTTAATAGTTAACGAATCGTGGTAATAGTTAAAAAGTCTCGTTTGTTCGACTAAACCGTTCTATCAGTGTATAGGATCGTCCCACTGTCATTATCGGAATCTTTCGTAGGATTTCTTGAGCCCTCAACCGGAAAATTTTGAGAAATTCGGATTTCTCGGAAAATTCTATGAGGCAAAACATTCTGCAAGCATTTTGTAAGATGACCAGGATTTTTATAGAATACTTTCCTACGGAAAATTTTTCTCGAAAGTTTTTCAATGTGAAACCTTAATTCCTGTAAATAAGGCGAATTTTGCAAATTAAGTCGATGATATTATTCTATAAGCAGTTTTCATACCTGATGTAAATGTAATAATAATCTTCTCATATTTTCTATAACAATATAATAGCGAAATTTGTTGCAGTAAATTACATCCACTGGCAATTTGTGAATCGCATTTTTGGTGAGGCCCCCAAAGAAACAGGTGATGAAGATTCCGAGTTGGATAAATTGCTCCGGTTAGTCAGACCAATTACAATTGAGTATAATTTTCAATTACCATAATGAGTTTGAAAATTCAAGCTATCATTCAAGGATCAATAATCGTTTCACATGAGAAACTCAATTCTGTTGAATTTTCAAGGTGAATAAAAGAACTATTAATAATTTGATATTAAATTGCATTCAATTTCACAACGTTAAAATTTCAAATGCAACTGTTGCTAGAATTTCCAAAAATTTTCAACAGTGTAGGGTGTGATATTGTGGGGCCTCATAGGTGATACTTATAACTTCATAAATTCTAGTTGGCTGGATTGTATGAACGCAACGACAATGTACGAGGCGCATGCACATTGGTTTGTCGAACATTACTTCACGGAGACCAACCAAAAAGCAGTAAATATTATTCCGAGAAGATATCAATTTTCATTATCACCAGAAGTTCAATAATCCTGGTGCTTTCAGGTACAAGAAGTCGTGAAGTATATTAAAGAAGGGTTCATATATCAAATTGAAAAATCCAATTTGATGGACAATTCTTCTAAATCGGCCCTAAAGAGGAAACTCGAAAAAATGGAAATTCTCATTGGCCGTCCAGATTGGATTCAAAATAGAACAGAAATTGAAAGCTACTATGAAAATGTATGTAAGAAATCTATGAAACAAGAAATCTATGACAACTTTAATAAAAAAGTATGTGGAATTTAACTTCATTAATATATGTAGCTCAATATTGGTGATGACTATGTGACTAATCGTTTGAATTTTCGGAGATTTGAGAAGAAGTACGGCTCCTTGGCCGCTGAACGCTCCGAATCGTCTAGGTAATGAAATCTTATGCGTTAGTGATATCTGGACGCACAAAAAATCATAGAAAAATTTAACATATTCCCTAGAGAATTTTCCAGGACTGGATTTTAGCCAATCACAGCGCAGTATTCGAGGGCACGATACTCTTTTGTTATCAAATTTTTTCGGAAATTGCACACTAGTTTCTGGAAATTCCATCTGATAATTGCATAGTAGCTTTTCATTTATTTCTAACCAATTGGGTGTTTTGCTGGAAGAAGCCCTCGAATACTGTGCTCCGCTTGGCCAAAATTCAGTCCCGAAAAATTCTCCGCCGAATACCCCTCGACCTTCAAAATTAATCGCAATATTTCCCTCGAACTTCCCTGCAAAGAAACAAAAGTGTCAATTTTGCAGAAAAATAAATTAAAATGAAATGAAAATAAATTTTAGCCTGCAAAACTTGACACATTCATTTGTTTCCAATGAAGCTATCGGGAAATATTCCGATAATTTTGAAGGTCTCGGGGTATTATAACTGAAAATTCTGCTACATTTTTATTGGAGATCTGTTGGAAATTCTATTCATTTTTCGTTGATTCTATTGAGAAATGAAATCCAGCTGTCCTGCGAGCTTTCGCCAATGGAAAAATTTTTACAGTAAAAATGAATAGGTTTCGATCGTCCATTTCTATAAAAAAGTTGCAGTGCTTTTCAATAGAAGATCAATTGAAATCCAATACACTGAGAAAAAAAATATTTTTGCCGAATATCCATTTACTTGGGAGAAGTATTTATTTTAAAATCATTAAAGCATTCTGGGGGTTGGAAACAACCTAAATTATTCAATTGGAAAATGTTCGCGGGCACCCCCTCAACCCCCCAAAAAAGATTGGACTAATTCGAAGTAAGGCAAAGGGGTGATCGGGGGTGGAAACCCAAATTTTTAGATTTTTCTAGTAAAAAAAAAAAATATGTTCATTGCAGAGGTTGGAACCTGCCTAAATTTTTCAATTGGAAAATGTTTACGGAAGATGTTTACGAAAGCCGAAAAATAACATGTTAGTTACGACCTTGAGTGAATTCCCTCAATAATTATGAAAATAAAAAAAATTCTGAAAAATGAATAATCATTGCAGGATTTCTAGAGCAACATGATTGTCATAATTGAAACCTAATCAGGCTCGCCTGGGAATGACTAGATTGGAGAAACACGATTTAAATAAAAGAAAAGCTTCTCTCAAGTAAATGAATATTTGGCAAAAATAATTTTTTTCTCTGTGTAGATTTCTCTAGCGAATCAGCTAGCTGTTTTCTACGAAATGTTTTCGTATGTGTGAGAAAATGAACTTTCATTCTTATTGGAATCCTATCCTTTTTAGATGGTTCATGCACATACTGCAGCCGACAGCTGCGTACCACCGTGATTGGAATGTTGCCAGTAAGTGCAGATACGATATAATATTTCCATGCCAATTAATATGTCGATTGATGAGGCGAAATTTGTTTGATCCATAATCGTGGCTTCTCAAATATACTGCATTCTAGATATCCCAGCAGGATTTTTTCACCTACCTTTTTTCAACTCAGAGGCACCTGAGTGAGTAGACAATACGTTAATTAGAGAACAAAAAAAAAAGATTTTTCCATGCCCTGTTTCATTTCTGGCATAACATTGTTTTTTTAAATGACAACACCACTCAAATCGAATAACTAATAATATTTTTCTACAGTTTCGTAAATTACGGAGCGTTAGGAAACACTATCAGCCATGAGATAGGTCATGGCTTTGATAACCAGGGTAGGTTCGAATAAATGATAATACGCTTTTTGATCCGTGGACAAAATTTCCGCTACAAACTTCCCCAAAAAACCGAAAACAATTTTCTCAGCGCCAATTGGATTGTTGACATGTGATCTGCCGACAAGTTAGTCTCATTGCATTATATCCGTCCGTAAATTATTCGATATTCCACGTATTTACGGATGGTAAATTGTAACTAGCGAGGTTTCCCGATGTCCCTCTCTCTTTTCGATTCGAATCAAACTCACTATTTGACGACGTATCCCCATTTTTATTATCACCAGTAGCCGCATTACTTTAACCGAAATTTACTCTCCTCAGCGTTGAGACCTGTGATTTATACACTCAGTACCATTGTTTGTGAGCTCATGATGCCCAATTTGAACCCTTGAATGCTTGGAATTTTAAATTAGTATCATTCGTGATTATGTGTTAAATGGAATCTCAGTAAATGGTTGTACTGTATATTTATCAATTAATGGAAGTAGCATGGTTCCATCAATCAAGGGCAATTTGCTTGCTAAAGAGGCGGAAGCATTATAATTTCATGTAAAATGCGAGTTATCAAATTGAAAATTGCGAACTAAACGTTATCGATCTATTCAGTAGCGAAGTGGTCAAACGGTACAAGTCAATCTTGAATATTGACCAGTTTTCAATGAATATCTCAGAATCTAAGGTAGATAGCAAAATTTTTATTATAACCTTTTTTGTAGAGCCGATTGAGAGCTACAACAAATGTAATTATGAAAATTTCGTTATTTGCCTTAGATTGGGAAATATTCTTCAAAAATCCGCCTGGGAGATGCGTCGACTTAAACCGTTTTTCCACTTCGCTATGGAATTCTGATTTACGTTTTTTTTGCACTTAAGATTGCTTCAAAAGGGAATGAAAATTGAATGAAACAACCGGATAATTTAACGGCAGATATTTTGCACCTCAGGAATAATGGGTGTGGAGGAAATTGTCGTTGTTTTTGTTGCAAAAATTTTTTTCACGAATGAAATGTTACGGAACTTTTGCATAAATTAAGTCAAATCAGCATAGACATTGACTTATTCATGGTTTCATGGTCAGGAATAAGAGATAGAACATCAACTAGAAACCCTGTACGAGATTACTTTATGCTTTTTAACTACAAGATTCAACTAGAATGCATTGAGGATCAATTCAGAAACTATTTCAAATCGGATTCGATGGTTGCTCAAACAATGAGTGAAAATGTCGCGGATTTAATTGCAACTCAACTAATGTTGGCTTCTTACGACCGTGCGAAACAGGCTGGGAAGGCGAATGTGACAGTGAAGCTCCCAGGGTTCGAAAAGTTTACTGATGACCAAATGCTCTTCATCGCTTTTGCTCAGGTAAAAATACGCTACCGATTCAGAGTGAATCATCAATTGGTTTTCACGCAGGGGAGGGTAAAGCGGATCGCGCGGCAAAACGGACTCCTGAGACAGAAAATTAATAATATTTGTTTTAATTGGTGTTTTTGTTTATTGGATTTATGGGTAGGATTGAATAAATAACTGTGAATTTAATTTGACTGTGACTCTTTATTCAGTCATACGTAGAAAATACATCTCGATCTTTACTCTAACTCCGGCTGTCGGAGACTAACTTCAGAAAAATAAGGACCAGTACATTGGACCACTTGGAACGCATTTTCTCTTTGTCCTTTGTTCTATGTTTTGTTCGTAGTATTCGTAGTCGCCCGCCATGTGGTCGCCACGTAATATAAACCCAGTTTTAAGAACCTCAGTCTGAAGAATTTGATGTGGTGACACTGAAATGTGTCAAGCTGTGTAGAGATTGATTTTTGAATACTATTTCGTTCCATGAAATTAAATATTGCTTTTGTTTTTTTGTTTTGCTTCTATTCGGAAGCAAAAACAAAACCATTTGTGGTTTGAGGTGATCAGCAAATTTGATCAAATTGCGCTTCAACGACACTTATTGTCTATAAAAACCCTGTGATTAGGATCCAAGAAACTCACTTTTAATTCAACACATTCAGTGTTCCTCATTTGAAAAAAAGAAAAAAAAATTACCAATTTTCAGTCAGTGGTCCGGGCTGCCTTAGGGATCCGTTTTGCCCTACTCTCCCCTATACCTGGGCTTTTTTCATTCTCAAGAGCTTATTTTTTCAGACACACTGTCAAGTTACACCTGACAACTATAAAGATGAATCTGACGTACACAGTCCACCGGAACTTCGGGTAAATGTTGGTGTTAGTAATGTTCCAAGATTTGGCGCAGCTTTCAGTTGTACAGTGGGAAGTCCCATGAATGCGGCGAAAAAATGTACCATTTGGGAAAAAAGAAGTTCCTCTTTGAATGACGACAGATGACTTATTATTTTTCGCGACATTGCTTTTTGGATGAGCTTTAGAAGAAAAATGTGTTAGAATATAAGTTTCAATTTTGAGAATTGATTTGAGGAAATTATGCGTACAAAAACGAATCGACGTAGAGAGTGCTGGAGAGTTAATATAAACATAAACAATGACTCCATAGGGAGCAAGAACTGAGAGTTCTTTGTCGTTAGGTGACGATATACCTTTGGTCTTTTTGACTAGTTTTTAGTCTGCTGGAGCAGTCCGTAGAGTACAGACATTTCTTCCTCGTGCGATATTAATGAATAAAGAAAAGGAAAAGTTAATTCACTGCATTTTAATTATTATTTCATAACCTATTTCCATTAAAATGTAGTAGATTATTTATAGTTCTCCGGCAATTTTGAGAACTTATGAATTGTGTACAAATGATGTCTTTCACTTTATCAAAAATATTGGTAATATATGGTAGCATAGTAGGCTCATATTTTTCAGATTTACCGATAGGTAAATATTAAAGTTTGTATCTTAATCTTGAAGTAATTCAATTCTTTATTTTCTTGATACAAAAGTTTTTCTTTGTTTTACATCTACACATGCCTCCCTCCTTCTTCACCATATAGAACCGAGTCTCCTCTCTCCTCCTCAGAATAACAACAATGATTTTAAAAAGGTCAAATAATCATAACAAAATTGCGTTGCGCCTCAACCTCAAGTAAACAATAACGAACAGGTAAGCAGATCTTGCCAGAAGCCAACGCGGACATCTACACCGTTTTGAAACATTTTTAAGAACATTCGCAAATAATTTAAGAAAATTTTCACAAATGACAACATATCACCTTTCGTTGGTCCGCATCCACTCGCATTCCCGATGTTCCTCACAGTCTCTCCCATCCCTGTTGGAGCCATTTTAATCCAACGGCGCGAACGATGAGTACTGGAGTTAATACACCACAACACCAGGTGACCCCTATAGACGAATCAGCTACCAGTATAAGCAATCCTTCGAGAGCTGTGCCAGGCAGCTCGCTGGTCTCGATCTCGCAGCCACACAATTCAAAGGTACCCAATCTCAGTTTGCACGCCTCAGAAGGAATAACCCGTAACCAATTTTCTAATCGCTTGAAAACCCACAACCAGCAGACAATCAAATTCTACGCCAGCGGCAGCAAGAACAGGGAGAATCATCAGATACGGATTTTGAAGCGAGTGGGCCTTCGAGTGATGAAATTACAGACGCTCGGCGAAATCAGGGACAAGTGCTAACGGATATCTAGTCGAATAAAAGGACTGTCCACAATCCGGTCAATAATGATCTGGGAAGCCATCCCACACTCCAGTTCCCAGCCTCACGTAACCCAGATCGACAACATCTTCATGTACCCGATTTATCTACTCCACGCGATAACGTCAGAAACGAGCTCCCACAAGATGCACGTGTCCCCCAAAGGCAGGTAGCTGAAGATATAGTAAACCGTCATGAAATAAGGATACCAAATCTCCCTCAAAATATTTCTGAAGGTCATCACGCTCTACCAGATCACGCTCAAGGATGTTGCGTTTACTGTGCTCAAACTTTAGAGGTTCTGAACCGCCAAGTCACAGAGATTCTTCAGCATTTGCCTCGTGACCAGCAAGGTCGCAGAGTGACGAATGAATTGAATTTACTACCTGTTCTTCCATTCAATGAAAGGGGGGCACTTGTGGAATTTAGCCAGTCTCTTCAACAAAATCAAGCAATTCGTGAACAATTCGGAGCTCTCATCACAAAGCTCGGTGGAGCGAATTATAAGCAAGCTGTTAGCATCGCCGTGGAGTAGCTAATGACGGATGAGCTCTGTGAACATTTTTCATGGACAGGGGTTCGCGGAACGGAGAGAGCCGCTGACTTACGAGTCATTTTCATTATCACTGGTATGCTGAAATGTGTAATGTTGATAATTAATCCGTGGCGTATATATAGTATGAATATGGTTCTTTGATGCATTAAATTCATACACCTATTTCAGAGACCATAGTTAATGCAACTGCGACAAGGACGAGTTGCTGAATGGCTCCGTCGCTATGGTGACAGAATTCGGGCAGCAAGAAGAGGAGGAGCCATTCGACGTAGGTGACGAGCGAGAAGACCTGGCGAACAGCATGAAAATTAGAAAGGGGGGGAGGGGTACGAGAAAAAGTATTTCTTTTTCTCCAATTTGACGACAATGTATTTATGTATTGTTTCGCCTCGTCAGAAAAATTAAAGAGGATGTCATTCATGTCTGAAAATGAGAAATAAGGAAGAAATGACAAATGAAAACAATAATACCGCCCAATACAGATTATGAAATCGTAAGTTGACTTAATGTGCATATATCATTTTAAAAAATTAATAAATTACGGGTTCATCTTGCAGATTAGTTTAAATTAGGACTAATAACGGGAGAGTAATTGATTCTGTCGAGTAATTATTTTTTTGTTATTTGTAAGTGTCTCAATGAACGACGCTAGTAAGAATTAGAATGAATATTACGCATTATGCAAAACTATTACTATTATCAAATGCATACGATAATTAAATTTATTAATAATACTCAAAAAAGAAAATGGAAAAATTGCTCAAAGTGGAAAAACAGAATGATTACAAAAATAATCTCGTGGTCTTTAAATACACGTTCATCTGATAGAAAATTATCGTTCATGATTTCGTAAACTTATTCTATTTGTTAGACAAAATCGTGGAATTCTATCTTCTTATTTCGGATATTTAGTATTAGAATAATAAGAAACGTGAACTCAAATAACTGAGAAGAAACAGCGGAGTTTATGAGATTCTCTTAGTCTTGAATTGTTCATAGAAATAGAGAGAGATGTTCAATTAAAAGAGCTAAATGCTAAAAAAAGCTAAGAAGAGAGAATTTTGAATAAAATTTGATTCGCATTCTCATTGATCTCTAATAGAAATTCCTAGCAAAAGGACTAAGTTTTTTCTATTTCATTCACTTTTTCAATTCATGGAAGGAAAAATTTCATTTTTTTAAATAAAATATGTATTTTTGACAATTTGTAAAATGAAAAATCATTTAATAAAATATTTTTTTGATACATAATTAACGAAGATGAACAATATATTTATAATCACCCTTGTCCCTGTCATACTACAAGATATCCCTACAACGTAACTAACGGACAACTATAAAAATTTCTGATGTCGCAACTTTTAGACACCAAATAGATTTCGGGATAGTTGGCAACAACTAGATGTCTAAAAATTTTTGTTGAATAGAGGCCCTGAAGACATCTTCATGGTCTTCCAATTTACAAATCCTATGGCGAACTGATAACAGACGGATATCTTTAAGCCGTCTACAATTAGTCGAAAGTTAGACAAATTTTTGTTATCCTTTAGAGTGTCGTAGAGACAGTTTACATGAAAAAGTACCCTAAAGCGCACATTGAATATCTTCCAGGTATACGCGGCGGTGGGTGACCCCCACGACCGCCACTTTGCTAGTGACATATCAATAGAAGCGCCAAAATTCAAATATACTCATGGTCCATACGGTGCGCAACGAAACGCTGTCAAAATATCTATATGTCAACGGTGGACATCTTTGAAAACAAGCATATTTCGTCATATTAAAGTTTCAGAAAGCTCCTTTTTCATAATTAAACATTTCTATCACTATGGTTGGTACAAATTGATAATAGTCTCATAACCGTTCATATCCCATTGAATATGGGACATTCAGTTGTACGCTTCAATAATTTGTTTACTGAAATGGTGTTCTACAAATTTGTCTTCTCACAAAATTTGAAATTGTAAAAGAATAAAAAATTACACATAAGCGAATAAAACAATTTTCCTTCAGTGAGAATGTACATTAAAATCAATTTTCGAATAATACGTATGTGATTCCGAGTATTCCACCAAAAAGTGAGATTATATTTCCTTTTATTCGTGAATCGACTGCATGGTATCAAATTATATCCTGCAACTCTCTTTGTCATGCTTCAGCCAAATGCAACTGTTCCTACCTGGATGGTTTTTTGGAAGTATGATACGTGGAAGTATTATACTCACTAAAAATAATTGCTTATAATTCTATTCATTTCCAAGATAATCAGCAGTCAATTTTCGAAAAAGGAGAATTTACTTTCAATTTCATCGGAATAGATACCAACCTCAAATCAGTGAGACATTAATAGTTGTGCTATCGCAGTCAAGTGAAAATGTTCTTGCTGCTAATTTAATTAATTTACGATACTCTACAGGTCGACAAAAAGAGTTATACATGGTATAAGCAATACAACACCTGAACTCTTCATGATTTTATAATTCTATCGTATCATTATGATAATTGTTCCATCCATCTGAGTTTATACCTTGGACATACTGTGCAAGTATAAATTTCGAATCGAAGAAACCTCATTTAGTCCGACAAATGTCGGTCTTTAAAAATGTCGGTATATTACCGTCAATATGATATTGCAGGAAGGTACCTTAGGAGTTTTCATTTCAGTGTATCGCAGAGATGGCATCACTTGTTCTGATTCTCTTGGTACCCCACGGGAAAGGCGGCGTCCCGGTCGAATTGTCGGTAAATGTGAGTCGGGTGCGTGAGTAACTCGGCAGTAGCAGTCCCGCTGTCACAGGGACAGGTTTGAAGGGGTTTTTTTGTCCTCCTTNACATAGTCGTGAACTTTCGAGCTTCGGCAACTAAGAACTGTGATGAAGGCTATGAATTAAGGACTCTAAGGGCCGGTTTCAAAGAGGATAGACCTGAGTAGAGGCCCGGATCGGGGGGTTTGACTGACGCCAAAAATGTTAGTTGGTACCCCACGGGAAAGGCGGCGTCCCGGTCGAACTGTCGGTAAATGAGTAACTCGGCAGTAGCAGTCCCGCTGTGACAGGGACAGATTCGGAGGGGGATTTTTGTCCTCCTTGTACTCAATGTTTACTTTATGTTTTTCAGTTGATTTATTCGCCGACTAATTAATATTAAGGGATGAAACAAAGACTGTTCAGTGGAGAATTAAATTCCCCATCCATCACGCCCCGTTTCATCCCTTAATCTCTGCAATAAAAAAATTAATATTGCGACGAATGTCACGGCGCTATAAGAAACCTAATGTTTTCTCGGCGCAGTGACTCCTGACAACTCGCCCGCTAATTAAAAAATCGTCTCGTTTCTCCTAATTAATATTAAAGAATGGAACCAATGCTGTTCGATGGAGAATTAAATTCCGCATCCTTCACCCCCCGTTTCATTCCTTAATCTCGGAAGTCGCGGCGCTATGAAAAACCTAATGGTTTCTCGGCGCAGAGCGCTTCCCCATTAATTCGCCCGCTAATTAAAAAATCGTCTCGTTTCTCCTAATTAATATTAAAGAATGGAACCAATGCTGTTCGATGGAGAATTAAATTCCGCATCCTTCACCCCCCGTTTCATTCCTTAATCTCGGAAGTCGCGGCGCTATGAAAAACCTAATGGTTTCTCGGCGCAGAGCGCTTCCCCATTAATTCGCCCGCTAATTAAAAAATCGTCTCGTTTCTCCTAATTAATATTAAAGAATGGAACCAATGCTGTTCGATGGAGAATTAAATTCCGCATCCTTCACCCCCCGTTTCATTCCTTAATCTCGGAAGTCGCGGCGCTATGAAAAACCTAATGGTTTCTCGGCGCAGAGCGCTTCCCCATTAATTCGCCCGCTAATTAAAAAATCGTCTCGTTTCTCCTAATTAATATTAAAGAATGGAACCAATGCTGTTCGATGGAGAATTAAATTCCGCATCCTTCACCCCCCGTTTCATTCCTTAATCTCGGAAGTCGCGGCGCTATGAAAAACCTAATGGTTTCTCGGCGCAGAGCGCTTCCCCATTAATTCGCCCGCTAATTAAAAAATCGTCTCGTTTCTCCTAATTAATATTAAAGAATGGAACCAATGCTGTTCGATGGAGAATTAAATTCCGCATCCTTCACCCCCCGTTTCATTCCTTAATCTCGGAAGTCGCGGCGCTATGAAAAACCTAATGGTTTCTCGGCGCAGAGCGCTTCCCCATTAATTCGCCCGCTAATTAAAAAATCGTCTCGTTTCTCCTAATTAATATTAAAGAATGGAACCAATGCTGTTCGATGGAGAATTAAATTCCGCATCCTTCACCCCCCGTTTCATTCCTTAATCTCGGAAGTCGCGGCGCTATGAAAAACCTAATGGTTTCTCGGCGCAGAGCGCTTCCCCATTAATTCGCCCGCTAATTAAAAAATCGTCTCGTTTCTCCTAATTAATATTAAAGAATGGAACCAATGCTGTTCGATGGAGAATTAAATTCCGCATCCTTCACCCCCCGTTTCATTCCTTAATGTTAATTAGGAGCAGAGATACGATTTTTGAATTAGCGGGCGAGATGTCGGGAGTCACTGTGCCGAGAAACCATTGTGTGTTTCATAGCGCCGCGACTTCCGAGATTAAGGAATGAAACGGGGGTTGAAGGATGCGGAATTTAATTCTCCATCGAACAGCATTGGTTTCATTCCNAGTAATACAGTCCTTATAATGAACAATAGAAGCAATTTTCCTTATAATAATGATATAATACATCACTCATTGGGAATTTCCTAGCTCATCACATTTGTGCGTTTTGATGTGCATATCAACGAGCGATATGCAAGTAATAGTTAAAAATTTTATAACTAGAGTCATTACAAATAAATCACTCAGCACTGATATCTCAGATACGATATAATAGTCTGGTGTAATGATAAATGTTATAACATTAACCAGCTGTGGAGAAGATTACAATCAAATACTTGCACCCTTTACATTTTTTATTTTTGTTTTTTTTAGATGCTAGGGAATTTTTAGTTTCGTCAAGTTTGCGGCATTTGATGATGGTAAAGTGGCGGTCGTGGGGGTCACCCAGACTCATAGATGTCCACAACTTTTAAAGATACCACGGCGTCATCTTATAGAATACCTGTTTCTTATTGGGCATCTCGACGATCTCGACCGCTGACTCAATCATAACCTCAAATCCAGTGCTTTCCCATTTTCAAAATACACTCAAACCATATGGAAATTTTAATTATTTTTTAATGAAAGATATAGTCCATATTCTCGAGGAACAATAATGACACCAAAACTGAGGATTTCTTCCAATGTCTTGAAAGTAAGTTCTATTTTTTCTTTCATCATCCCGAGATGTACATTAGTTGACTCCAGTGACACTTTAGCTGTCAAATCATTCAATCTAATCCAATCATTGGATAAATTGCCCCAGGATCTCTTCTATCATCCCAGTACCTTAGAAACCAATTGAAAATTAAATTAGAAATTCGTCAACACTCAAAAATGATTTTTGTACCCGAAAGTTGAGCTTTTTGTTACACTATTTCATGTCTAAATAAATAATAATTTACAATTCTCTCTCATTGATCCTTCGAGAATAATCAATATTCAAAAGATTCATTTGTCTCGAAATGAAAATGGGAAAATGATCGTGCCGCTTATGCCCCCAATAAGCATTCCCGATCATCTTCATTAAGAGGTAATGGTGCCCCTTGTATATGTTGAATTTTATAATCGCCCTCGTATCCATAGTTATTAATTTTGGGGAACCAAAAAACTTCAGGCACTGCACAACATAGTAATGGAGTGATTGAAGTTTTTTGGTTTCCGAAAATTGGTAACTAAGGACACGAGGACGATGCTAAAATTCAACGGAAGCAAGGAGTACCGTTACCCTTTAAGAAAACTCTCCTTTCTTAAACGAATACCTCTCAATACCAAAACAAGTGGGGAATTGCTCTTGTATTGTATATAGTGCAGTTTTTCTTGCCAATAAATTAGCAATCTGCTTCCGAATAGTTATTTTGCACATCATTTCCTTCTACCATGTATAATTCATTGTTTATTCCATTTTATTACATTGAATAAGATTTCCTTTTACTTAATTTTGTCAAATTTTCAACTTAGTTGGATGTTATTAACATCATTATTCTTACTGTCCGTTTTTTCCTAAACAACCGATCATTTTTTACAGTTGTATCTCTCCCCTCAGCCCTTCTATAAAATGTTAATGGAAAAATTTTATTTACACATACTTGAATGAATTTGAAACATCACATTTGCAAAAACTAGCAGAAAGCTCACTCTCAAGAAAATTCATGAAAAATTCAAAATTTTCAACAATCATAAAAATCAACCAATATAGCTATCGTAATCATCTTTTAACTTCGACTTAATGGCATTAAAACAAACATTTTAAGCTATGATTGAATTCATTTGAAGTATGATATTCAAAGATATCCTCGGAATTCTGATTTTGAAAAGACACAATTTTTGAAAATTTTCGAATAAATCAAAATAACGATTATTGCTATCGCCTTCATCTTCGAACTCAGTCAAAGGTACATCCAAACAATTTTTTTAAGCCATCATTCAATCAATTTATAACATTTTTTAAAATTATTGTGGGACAACAGATTTTCGAAAAAATTCAAAAATTAATAAAACTAGTTGATAAATTGAATTCTAATTAATGGCGATCGATAGGGCTCAACAATGCCTAAATTGAAAAAGAAAAAAATTCACTTCCAAACTTTCATTAGCGAATAATTGAACTTTGTCTTTGACGAACGCAAAATGCCGTTTTGCGGACAGTGTGATGAAAATGGCTTTTTCGGACTTTTCAGCCTACAAATTGTTGACTGATTGACTACTTGTTTGTTGAAAATACAAATCGCGAAAACTTGAATTTGGACAATTAGAATACTTCTACTCGGAACCAAAGATATTTCAGTAGCGAAGTGGCAAATCGGTTTACGTCAAAACGTCAATTTTTTTTGAACGCATTGTGATCAAAATGTTAAAACCTCCTTGTCGAAAAAAATCAAATTAAACCGTTTCACCGCTCTGCTACTGATTTGTTGTTTTCTTCATTGTGAAAAAATCGGAAGCGAAGCGGTAAAACGGTTCAAGTCGACTTAGCTCCTAGCTCAGTTTTCGAGGAATATATTCGAATCTAAGGGAAATAGCAAAATTTCGTAATAACCTTTTTCGTAGCTCCTAATGTGCTCTACAAAAAGTGTCTAATCAAAATTTTACTATTTGCCTTAGATTTCGAGATATTTATCCAAAACATGTTAATAGTCAAAATCCATTTAAACCGCTTTACCGCTTCGCTACAGAATGACTCCAAGCTCTAAAATTGTATTCTCCCCCAGAGACTCCAAGAACTCACCTCCAAGAACACAGGGAGGCTCTTCGGCGTGATGTCAGAGAACTCCCTGACAGTCTTGAGCTTCGCCCTGAATCCCTTGGAGGACGACGACTGCTCGATCCCCCCAGCAGCTCTGCAACTGAACATGCCAGTGGAGATAGACCTTTGCGGTGTTCTCTTCATAGGAGACGCCTCAGAGAGAATTCCAGAGGCCTTCAAGGACATCGACATCACCGACAACCCCCTGTTACTACGATATACTCTGGGTGCCCAGCAGGTTCAGCCCTTTGTCTATGTCCACCAGACGTTAAAGCCAGCGGGTGAGCCCGAGGTGATCGAGGAGTCTGAGATCTGGGAGAGATTTTTCTACCTTCGCCTGAGGACGAGCATCCCCATGGCCACCCAGAGGTCAGAGATCACCGATGCATTCCAATCCACGAGGAAGAATTTAGCCTCTGGATCTGTTGGATTCCACTTCCCAGAGGCCGACGTCTACCTCCTGGGGAGTGACAGCGAGTCCAAGATGATTAGCATCAAAGAGTTGCTGAAGACTCCTAGGGGGAATCTCCCTGGAACTGTTGAGGCCATTGATGCATCGATGCTGACGAGAATGACCAGTGAAAAGTCCGAGGGCTCCCTGAAATACGCACCTGTCCTCCAGCACATCAAACGACCCTTTCAAAGCCTCCAGTTCGACATCAATGTCGATACTCTTTCCATTGTCGAGGGGAGTGTGAGTGCCACGAGACTGTACTCGATCCTCGTGGAGTCCGTCTGCAGGAATCTGAGGCTCATTGAGAGGTCCTTCACTCTTGAGCTGGATCAGCAGGAGGAGTTGAAGGTTCCAGAGGTCTTGCACTTCAAACCGAGGAATTGCATGCATCTGGTGACGGTGGCTTATCCCAAGGGGAGCGATGATGAAGACACAAGTGAATATTCATTATTTTTTTGTTCCATAGGGGTAGACGAGAGGGGATTGAAGTCTTTTATGGAGACGTTGATTTCTGGGGAATAGGGTGAACTGACCAGTGATCGAATTCATTTAGGGCCAGTTTTTGGTTCAAGTTAACCACGGTTTACTCGTGGTTAAAGTTCAAGGGAGACTACTATGTGTTTTAAAATCGCGGGCTGTTGGGGTGAGATTTCACATGCATTGAGGATCGACACCTTGAGAACAGACAAGTGTAAGTTCTATGAGTTTTCTATGTAGGTGCGCTTGTCTGTTATTAAGGTGTCGATATGTCTAAAAACGAAGAATTAGTGCAAAAAAATTGATCGTTTATTGTTCGTTTGACCCGCAGATGCTTAAAATGTTAAAAATAGTCCAGGGCCTCCAATTTTTGAACTACAGAGGTTTCTTTTTTTTCAAAATTTTTGAAAAAATGTGTACAATAACAATCGTGAACTAGTTTTTTGAAATTCGACTCCTACACCACTCAATTTCGTTATTTTAAAGAATAGATTTTAAATATTTTAAGGATAATTTTTTTATCTATTTTACATGAATGCCGCAAATCTTTATATTAAATAAAACGAAATTAGGTGTGTAGGAGTCGCCTTTGAAAAAACTCATTCGTAATTGTTATTGTACACATTTTTTCTAAGATTTTGAAAAAAAAATACCTCTGTAGTTCAAAAATTAGAGGCCCTGGACTATTTTTCATATTTTAAGCATCTGCGGGGCAAATGAACAATAAAAAATTAATTTTTTTGCACTAATTATTGCTTTTTAAACATAATCGATCTTCAAGGCATGAAAAATCCAGGGATGATCATCAATCTTGCGATTCTTCAATATTAAAAGAATTTCCGACTCACATTGATGAAGATTTAAATATACTAATCAAAAAATTAAAAATAGTAAAACAAATGATAATCCAAATTTCAAGTTGATGATGAATTAAATATTCAAAAATGTGGAACTATAAATTTTCCATTAAGTAGATAATACTAAATTCCGTATAAGGGATTTCCGATTATTCAAATAATCATCAATCTTTCTAACTCAAGTACTGATTAACGTATGATTCAAAATTTGACTATTTAAATTGATGATTACTTTAATAATTAAAATTTAAAAGTGATTTGACTAATTACTTAAAATTAATTTTTTAATTGATTACTTAACAATGTAACAGTGATTATAATTTATGGATATGGCTATCCCTGGAGAACTTTCACTCCAATAACCCGCGATTTTTAAAATTCATAGTAGTCTCCCCTTACAGCTATCCAAAAATGCTCCCAAAAAAGGTCCTCAGAAACATTTTACTTTGACCTTTAGTTTCTGAAATGAAACTCATCTGTTCTAAAGATTTTTCATCTCCTCTTCATCACCCAGTAACAAAATTATTTCTCTTGTCTATTTTGTTTTAAGGATTTCGTACAATTGAGATATGTTTCTTGTTTCAGAGGACTATAGGAAAAATCTCCATAAAGTTTTGTCGTTTGATCTCTCGAGGCCTCTGTTCTGTAGAGGTAATACCGTCAGATTTTCGAGTGATTTTACGAGTAATGAACCGATTCTCAATCCTCATGAGGCTGTTCCACCCCTTGGGAATGATTTCTCGACTAGTTTAGTGAAGGGACTGTATGCCTATCATCATTACATGCAGGACAACTTCGATGACAGTGGGTGGGGATGTGCGTACAGATCGTTGCAAACGATTTTCTCGTGGTTCAGGTGATTAAGAATTATAATTTAAATATTGGATTATTTAAATATTTTTTATAAATTATTTACGACGACAAGTTGCAGTGTTCAAAAATTGCAATTTTGCAATTATGTAATACATCGTTCTCAGTAGACTTTCCAATATTTTGCCTATTTTTAAAATATTTCCTGACGGTTCAAAATGGGGAATTAAATTGAAAATTTTCAACTTTAAGGCCCGCGTGTATTATCTATGGGCCGTGATCTTGGTTATTCTTTTATTGCGATAATCTTAAATGTTCTTCAATTTTCATTCAGTTTTACATGGCGCTAGAGTCTCCGAAAATTATGATTGTACAATCAAAAAAACCTTGACAAAAACTGAACATTTTTAAAGAACATTGGGAAGTAAACCCAATAAGAAGGAAATTTCAAATTAATAATTTACTGTATCTAATGGCTGTTAGATCATTAGTTGCCATGATGAATTATCCATTTACAATTTCCTCTCTATCGGACTTATTTCTTAATCTTTATTAAAAAGTTGGACGGAAAAAAAAGACCAGAAAAAAATAGCCCACACATTCAAAACATGTTAAAACCCATCCAACTTATAAATTTCCCTTGGTCTACTTTTTCCGGGATTCATTAAAAACGCTCTTTGTAAATGTTCAGTTTTTCTCTTCTTCAAGGACGCCTGTGTGATGTAAAATTCAATAGAAATTGTGATCTATTTTAGATTATGAAGAAAAAACAATCGAAATAACTTCGAAAGATAATCAAAATAACAAAACAATTGCAGATTGAAAACAATTGCCAATGGTCAGTAGTCTAGGGTCAAATGGGGCTTGAATCGAATCCCTGATGTTTAAATACAAATGTTAAATAGCGAAAAAAAATTGCAGATATACTTGGATAGTCTTAAGAATGAAACGACCAAATTTCAATCCCACACCCAGCACTTCTACACCCCTTCGAAATGTTCAATTGAATTGTGGATATTTTTTAGGCTCCAGGGATACACTGGACAACCAATCCCCTCTCACAAAGTCATCCAGAAGTGCCTGGTGGACATCGGGGATAAAGCTAACAATTTTATCGGATCGAAACAGTGGATCGGCTCCACTGAAGTGGGATTCGTTCTCGAGTCTCATCTGGGTATTTCAGTCCGAGTACTGTGCGCTGCCACTGGGGAACAAATGAGGGATCAAGTCATGAGTCTCAAGGAGCACTTCGAATATCAAGGAACACCAGTTATGATTGGTAATTGATCAACAATTCTCTTCTCCTAATACTCTATTCACTAATTCAGTAGCGAAGTGGTAAAACGGTATAAGTCAATTTTGACTATTGACCGGTTTTCAATAAATATCTCGGAATCTAAGGGAAATAACAAAATTGTTGTTATAACCTTTTTTGTAGAGCCGATTGAGAGCTACAACAAATGTAATCACGAAAATTTTGCTATCTTCGTTAGATTCGGAAATATTCCTCAAAAACTCAATTGGGGGATAAGTCGACTTGAACCGGTTTACCACTTCGCTACTGATTCATTTTCCCTCATTGAATTTGTCTTGTTCTATCCCTTCAGGAGGTGGTGTACTAGCTCACACAATTCTCGGAGTCGCTCACAATGAAGAAACAGATGAAATGAAGTTCTTAATCCTAGATCCTCATTACACAGGATCAGAGGATATTAAAACAATTGTCAGTAAAGGCTGGTGTGGCTGGAAGGGACTGAATTTCTGGAAGAAAGATGCATTCTACAACATGTGTCTGCCCCAAAGGCCATCCAGATACTGAAACATTCTAATTTTTATTCATCGGAAATTGGGAAAAAAAATCTGATATGAGTGGTAAAACGTAACAAGTCGATTCATCAAAACTCGTTCAATTTAGGGATATTTTGATAATTGTGATTTTAGGGGAAAATCGTGAGAGATTTTTATAGGGAATTCTTTCCACTGAGAAGAAGATCTGATCTTCTTCCCTAGAATTAGTGAACTCGATGATAATTGCATGATTAATTTCGACTAATTACATTTTATCAGTTCAGCACAGAATTATCCACAGTCCGGAGGTGATTTTTTTGTCTTCAACGGTGCACATAATTGTTCAGTGGAGATAAAGTTTTATCCATGGATATTTACTGTAGATAATACATTATTTAATAAACGTTTTCATGTTACACTTTTATAATTCTTTTTTATTATTCTGCCAATTAATTAATAATGAATTCAACATCCAAATGAAATCGATTTATCCTTCTCTTTGGAACTAACGGTAAATAAAAAAAATATTTACTATAATTTTATATTGTTCGTTTTGTTCATCACATTCCACCAGCAGATTTTTGTAATATCTGGGCGAATCTGTTTGTGATTAGCAGAGAGACATCGATGAATCTGTCGACGCAATTGTTCAAGCAGGTCTCAGTCTTTGCGTCTAGTTTGGCTCCGGGTTTGTCGACACATTTGTCCCAGCAGAAATCATTGAATTCATTGATCTGAAATGAATTCATGATGTGAAGCTTTTCAAATTCATTCAACTCTGAGGTGAATGCATGTGAATTAGGGCCGGATACTTCATTCTATAAAAAGTCTGATGACAAAATTGCTGGTCAACTATGCACCGGTTGCTTAGCAATTTTGTTAGCAGACCTTTTGCTGAATAAATTTTACTATTTTGGATAAAACGGATCCGAGTCCCAGTCTAATTTTTTGAAAAAGCCCGGTTGCACCAGCTCTGGGTAACGAAAATGTTTGATAAGAAAAAAAGTAAATTTGGATGTTCGATGGATTATTTTACCCGGGAGAGTATCTCAAATTTATCCCAGGAACAAAAAATGAAATTTAATCCCAAGGTTACATCAGTGTCAATTCAAAGGGGCTACAGGATAAATAAAAAATTATTCTTCGGGTCAAATATTGAAAAATTATGACCCCTACGATATAATTGACTCCAAGGATAAATTTTACCCTGGGGTTTATTTGCATAACAGGGCTTGGTGCAACCGGGCCGAAGTTTCGTAAAAATAATCACTTTGGGTAAGGAACGAAAAAAATTTTCAATCGACGAGGGGCCAGGGGCTACCATCCACAATTTTCTAGGTTTATGGCGATTTTAAAGCATTTCCGACAATATGAACTAATTCACGTATGAAAAAATCATATAGAAATTTTCTATACGGATTACATACAGATTTTCTATAGGATTTTCGTATATGATATTCGAATATTTCTATACGGATATTTTTTATACAAATTATTTCTATACGATTTCTATAGGTTTGATCCTATACGACCCACTGCCACATGTATAGAAACATTTCGTACGGAGTTGCGACATTTCTCTATGTTTTTCTCTGGAGTGTTTAGACATCTTTCGTAGGAAAACAAAAGTTTATGTCAAAATTTATGTATAGAAATAATACGTATAGAAAATATTCGTATAGAAATATCCGAATATCATATACGGAAATCCTATAGAATTTTAATACGCAATCCGTATAAAAAATTTCTATACGATTTTTTCATACGTGTTGGCACCATGTTCAATCGAAAGAACGGAAAAGTTCCGTCGGGAATGCATATTGAAAACCCGAAAAAAATTGACCTCTGCTGAGACGCACAATTTTGTCAAAAACACAAAATTTAAAAATTAACGTTGTGGGTGTAATCAAATTTGAAAAAAATTGGAAAAAAAATTTGAAGGCCTTTCGAATGATAAGAAAGCCATATAAGAAGCCTCAAGAAAATAAAATTTTCGAAAGTACAAAACCAGACCAATAATTGGCGAAAACACCCAAGTAAGTCACCAGTAAAAATTTCATGTTTCACTCGAATTGAAGTGCATTAGATGATTTCATTATTATTGTTCCATCAATTTTCGTTTGTTCGCTCATGATCTGCAGAATTGACTCTTTTAATTGAAAGGATATTGTATGAACTCATATTGCACGAAAGTAACTGAATGATGTAATTATGTTCAATAGTGTTTGAATAAAATTCTGAACCTCAAGAATGTACCTGAGCTGTGAGTTGTGCTTTCTGCTTCTCAATCGCCAGGAAATTCTCCAGCTCCGGGTCCACCGAGCCTGGTTTTTGAATCTTTGGGGCCTCGTCAAAGCTTGAGGACGAGCTGAAAAGGTCTGACATCCTTCACAATTTTTTTTCTGAAAGTAAAATTAATCAATTGAATTGTTTCTAGCAAGATTCCAATTTTGACGACACCATAAAAGCTTTTTATAAGTCTTCGAAGTGACTAATAAACCACTCAATACCTTTTTTAACAGCCGAAATGCTCGTGAGACTGATGGACTTCTCAGCACTATCTGATCTTTTTCTGTTTTCAGTCACGTGTGGACATAACCTCACATCCGGCAAGCTGTCTGTGTTGATGTTAATCACCCCAGAGCCCCCAGAGTGTGTGCTCAACCTCCACTCCCTCAATTTTAATAATTAAAACATCTTGAGGATAATTTATCAAAAATGAGGGAAATTCCATTATCAAAGTGTGAGAGGGAATTCATTAATAGTTCAGTGGAGCAGGGAATTGTGAGTAAACAATCATATTTTCAAGTTCCCAATCGACTTAAAATAAAATGGTTATCAATCGACCATGCATCCCTTAATTATTGATTTTGAATTAATTATTTATTCAATTTATGTTCGCATTGATTCCTGGCAAGATCTGCTATGCTGGTCTTTCGTATTTTGAAGCTAAAAGCAAATTTGTCATCATTTACCATGAATTTTTATTGTTAGGGGAGACTGGGATAAAATGGACACTTTTGTATTTTTTTTTTAAATTATAACAATTTATTGAATTGCTGATAAAATGGAATGATTTTCTTTTCTATGGGAAGTACAATTCATCCCCTTCGTGATGAGCCTAGACTCAACTGAATTAATAAATCTGTTTCTGAGTTATGAATATGTCAAAAAGTCATAAGTTTTCATTTTACCCCATCTTTTTTTTAGAAGACAGAGAGACCGGTGTAGGCATAAAACAATAACTGTACGCTGAGAAGACAAAAGTTGTTTGAGAAGTATATCTTTACTTCTATCAAGAAACTCTTGGCTCGAAAATTTTCAAGAGTATAATATTTCCCATTCAGCAAAACACCTTACACTGAGAAAAAAAATTATTGTTGCCAAATATCCATTTGTATATATCTATATGAGCGCCAAATCTATACGATTTTTTCATACGTATGGCACCGTTGGGGCAATGTGATTCAATGAATCACTGAATTCAATATAAAATACATCGTCATAGAAATTTCATTCGCTAGCAAAGTGCTAATTGATTAGCAAAAATAAATTGACTATGTTATGACGAAAGCAATTTCCCACTTGTTCATTGAATTTATTCCAGAGATTGGATGGCAGACAATTACTAGAAGGTAGAAAGGTAAAACTGCACTTTGGAGGGACCTGGGGCAGGTGTCTAGCAGCTCTAGGCCAGACCCAAGTAATAGCAAACGTATCGTGTGACGTTCAGCCCCCAAAAGTCTCGAGACCCAACGAGGGAATGGTCCACATAAACGTGGAGTTAACACCCCTAGCAGCCCCCTATTTCGAAGCTGGGAGACAGTCAGAGGCTGGGGTTCTCCTCACGAGACAGTTGGAGAAGTGCTTCAAGGACTCCAGGTGCATTGACCTCGAGTCCCTCTGCATCGTGGCTGACAAGAAGGTGTGGAACCTCAGGGTGGACATAAACGTGATAAATCACGATGGCAACCTTGTGGATTGCGCTAGCATTGCTGCTCTAGCTGCTCTACTCCACTTTCACAGGCCAGATGTTACTTCCACTGGGGATGAAATCATTATCCACTCGTTCGCTGAGAAAGATCCTCTGCCTGTGACTTTGTTCCATCAACCAGTCTGTGTCTCATTTACGACATTCGAGAAGTGGGTTTTTTCGTATTTTATGGGTTTTTACTTCCGAATGGAAGCATTGTAATGGTGCAAATTTAAGGCCCAGGTGTACTATTTTTCGAATGTTATCTGGATTTTTTTTATCTTTCGTAATCCAAAATAGTCCTTTGAGTGGTACATCATGTAGAAATTTCCAAAAATGATGATAGAATGATAAAAAAAGATTTCCGCATTTGAAAAATGATTTTTAAGTATTTTTAGAGATTTTCATTCTGTAATTATGAAATTACCCCATTGATAGATCATTTTGTACTTGTGGGGTCATCGTATGATCTATAACTCTTGAAATCACTCGTTCTCAACAAAAATTCATAATTGCTCAATTACCTAATAACTATATTAAATTTTCATTTTTGACTTTCCATTCATCACAGTGGAACAACTGTTATGGATCCTTCGTACACAGAAGAAAGACTGGGAGTAACTCAATTGACCCTCGGTTTGAACGCCTACAGAGAACTCTGTTGTCTGCATTTCGATCACACAACTATCAGTAAAGTATCCACTGACGTTTTGTCCCTCGTGATGAAGGATGCTATCAATTACGCCACTAATTTGGTGAGACAAATCAAGGAGACCGTCAGGATAGACGTGGAAGCGAGGTAAAAGTCACTCCATGATTGAAATTGCCTCCTCAAAACATTTCATTAAGGGGTAACAGAATGCCGTTAATTTTCCAAATTTTTTAACAATTTTCCTGTTAAAAGCTATCGATATTTTTACAAATCAAAGAACATTAATCTCCAGGAAGCGACGATAAAGATCAATTTGCTTCGGGTTCGAAAAATATTGATAGCTTTGAGCAGGAAATTTGTTTATTTTTCTCACTCGGATTTCCGCCAATCAGAGCGCAGTATTTGAGGCTGTCAACCAGTTTTATTTCGGAAATATCTAAAAAAAATTCTGACGGAAATTCACTAGTAGCTTTCCAAATATTTCAACGCATTTCACGGTTAATATTCTGTGTGACAGATAAACAAAAAAGTGGGTTTTAAATGTATCCGGATGCTGTTCACTGCACTCTGCTTGGCCGAAATCCGAGTGGAAAAATAATCCGTCAAATACTACTCGTGCATGGAAATTAATCGGATATTTTCCTCAAGCTTCCCTGCCTAGGAACGAGTGTGTCAAATTTTGGAGAAAAATCCTGCGAAATTTGACACAATCGTTCCTACGCAACGAAGCTATCGGAAAATATCCGATAATTTTGAAGCCCTAGTGGTATTACTACTGAAAATTTCGAGGAAACGGCGACGTTCTGTTACCTCTTAAAGATTTTTCAAATTGAAAACATTTTCAGGTATAAAAAAGAAGCAGCAAAGGCCTTCAGGTTTAAAAACATCATCGCAACAGACAAGATCACCTCGATGATGACTGAGAGGATACAAATAAGACTCTCCAAGTGGCACTCATCAAATAAACATAAAGAGGAAGTTGAAGATCCTTCGGACATCGAGATGAAAGACGACGAAGAAAGTGAAGACGAGGAAGAAACTGAAGACACTGAAATCGTCAGAGTGGGTGAGGGATCAGCAGAATTAATAACAAACAGCAATCCAACAGTTGGAGAGGGTGGTAAAAACACGTGGGACTCCTCAGACGAAGAAGAAATGGAGGATGACGATTCCGATGAAATTGAACTCATAAAAATCCAGAAACAGGAGAAAAAAGTGCTGGATAACATAGGTAATCAATCATCGATCAGTAATTTTCATAAAAATGTTTATTCAATTATTCTGAAATAAATTTTCTCATGTTTCATTCATCTAGAACTGAGTGACAGTGAAGAGGAGACCACGTGCACAGTCTCAACGAGTGACTTACTCTGATGGAAAAATATCAAAAAACGAATAAAGAAAGAATATCCAATAAATACAGAAAATTTGTATAAGTCTTGAAATAATGTATGATATAATTTTCAATTGATTTTTATAATTAATTCTTATAAAATATACCGCCCTCTATCAACAATTTAAAAAATTCTCTCAAGTAAATTCGCAATGTTTTGTATAATCATTCGAACATGATTCAATCATTATCTCTCTGAGGAAGAAGAAAAATAAACGTTAAAATAATAATAAAAATCTAGTTAATTATGTCATTGATGGGGATGAATTTAATTGTAACACTGGGAGTATTGGTTACGTTGCGTCATTGCTGAGGCCATTTTTTTGGTCGAGTTTGTTGGCATTTGTCTTGACAGTGTAAAAGAAAATACTCAGGGCCTCTTTCTCGGCTACGGGAATTGTTTTGAAGTGTTTCATTAATGTCTGCAACATTGAATAAAGTACAACAAATTATCAACAGTGTTCATGAAGAATTGAATATCAAACTAAATAGTCATTGGTCAATGTCATGGTCATTTCAACATTCAGGCAAATCAATTGATCATTTTAAATTAAGCGGGAGGCCACACCGCTTTTTTCACGAACAGGAAGTAGTTGATGGGAAATTTCGTCAAATTTTTTTCAATTTCTTCCGTGTATGAAAAAAGTTTAGGCATGAAACACCACGAAATTTTCAAATTCCATAAGGTTGATTTTGTGGAAGATCATATCTAATACACAAAACAAAATCGTTAAAAAGTATTGAAAATTGTAGCTCTAATAGTATTTTTACGAGTCGAAAAAATCGAAAAATTCAAATTTTCGTTAAGAAATTGACAAAAAAGTAGTTCGATGGATGTTATTCTCACAGAAAGTTGAACCCATATCAAATTACAATAAATCCGGAAAATTATATTCAGAATTGTCCGACTCCATAAGCTGGTCCTTCTGTGGAAAATAAAATAGACCGAGAAGTAGAGGGTGGAGGGGACAGATTTTGAATCAGTTATTCACGTTTTTTTATTTCATTGGTAGTCATTCACGTTATAATTGAGTTTTGTGATGAAAATATCCATTTGAATTGTTTTTTGCTTTTCCTATCGAAAAACCTCATTTTTGAGTCCTTTTCGACTCGTAAAACTACTAATCCTGCTAACCTTTCAATCTTCAATATTTTTCAATGAATTTTTCCTTCCGCAAAATTCATCATATGGAATTTCAAATCATTCAATTCCTCCTGGTAAACAAAAATAAAATATTATTGAAAAATGAAAATTGCACTGATTATTTCACCTTTCAATAACATTGCTCGTGTATAATCATGTGATCAATTATTTTCTCTATTAGTCAATATTTAATGAATACAAAAAATATGGTCCAGTCGTCCAGAAATTAGTGGTTTCGGCTGCATTCATCTGTGTTTTAATTCAATTATTCTTTTTTTTTGTCATTTTCACATCAAATAATTGTTTTTCTGCTAATTAAAACATTCTTGAAGGTATGAAAGCTATCATATCCCTATTTAGGTAATTCTTTTATTTGATCGTGATTCTACCACGAAACTCGAATTTCCCTTCACAGTCCAGCAATTGGCCTGTTCGTCCTATTTTGTTTAAATTTTCTTTAGTGAAGAAGAAATTCTCAAAAAATCACCGAAATTTGCCATCAAATACTTGGGTTACTTGAAAAAATGGTGTGACCTTCCTTCAATGGAATTGTCATGCTCACATCAGCTAGTTGTGCTTTGTTGAGTCCAGGTCTCGTCGAGACCTTGAAATGCTTCTTGTATCTCCTCAAAGTTCCAACTTGAAGCTGAAATAGATCCACTTCAGGGAGATCATTGTCCGTCTCACCAGAGTCTTCCTCGGAGTCTTTCCGCCTTCTCTGCTGCTGTTGTTTCGACCGAGCACACTGAATCACTTGTTTATGGTAATCACAGATATAGGTATGACGTACCTGAAAGATAAATTCATTGATTGTTTATTCATTCGTTAATTTGCTTATTTTTCAACAGCTGAATAGTTAATGAGAGTCAACTGAATTGGTGATAGACTACATGTGGGTCAGTAAAATAATTCTCATACAATTTTTAGAACGGGACTACTAAAAATAATGGGATAGTAATAATAAAAAAGTAAATTAGTTTAGCGGCATTTAAGTTCGGAATTTTTAACCGTCAAATTTGGAAATTAGCGAAACGGTACAACGATTCAAGTACACCAAAAAGGAATGTCTGATTTTCACACAACTTTCGCAGACATTTTTCAGACCCTAAAAAGTATCTAATAAAAATAAAATGAATATGTCTCTGAATTTCAGACCAACAGGTGCCCAAACATCTTAAATCATGTTTGAAATTCAGATAAATTTGCATTTCATTCAGACTTTTTTTTAGGGTCCGAAAAACGTCTTCAAAAAGTGTGTGAAATTCAGACATTTGTTTTAGCTGTAAGTCGCCTTAGCTCTTAAAGATATCCAGGTACTTTGGCTATTTTTTCTCCAGTGAATTGCTTTTCTACATTTGTAGTCGAACTTCAGAGCTCTCATTTAAACGCCATTTGACCCTAAGTTTCAGGACATTTGACAATGATTTTATTATTTAAACTTTGCAGGTCTGAATTGGAATCTCGATATTGAACCGGAAAAAAATATTTTAAAAATCAGAAAACAAATTTGGAATGTTTACTTCTGGAGGGAGACTGACGAAATAATTTAAAAATTACAATTCTTGAAAATGACAAGTATTTTCTATAGATAATGTATAAACAAATAATTTGTCATCATAAAAATCATTTACGCCACTCATGCCTGAAACCGGCTGGATTACACACTCGACGCTTCGCGTCTCGTGTCTAATTCAGCCGGTTTCAGGCTTCGTGACATAAAATTTTGTTCAGTACTTGTTGGGAAATTTCGTCCTTAACGTGTGCGGTTACATCACTCGCCTTCGGCTCATGCTGTAAACCCCACACACGTTAAAGACGATATTGCCCCACATGTGCTGAAATATACTATTGTTTGGAATCATAACAAATTTATTCATATTCAAATTTTTACCAGAAATCGATTTCATGTCTGAAAAAATAAGGTTTCTAAAACTTTAAACACTTTCAATGATTTATTTATAAACAACAAATGTTTAAAAAAATAATAATCCTGTGGAAAATTTCATTTGAATGACGCTGAATATTCATGATGTTTTCAAATTTTTCGAATTTAAATTTTCTCGAACTTTCTATAAAACTCCAGAATTTTCTCAAACTTCGTAGAAATCTGGAAAGTATTGTAGAGAACTGAAGAATATTCTAGAATTTTCCAGAAAGCTCTAGAATTTTCTATAAGTTTCTACGGTGCATACTAAACTATGCATCGCAGCGCAATAACTTATAGCCTAAAGCCGAGTGGAAACCCTAAATTATGTAATAATAGTAAAAATACCATTGAAATCCATTCAGTCGTTTTTTGCGTGAATCGCGGCCAAAGAATGGGCAACAGATTTATGATGTTTAAGAAAAAGAAGAAGGCACCGTCTTGTACGAATGCTGCCTCTTGAGCCAAATATTTCGCTGTCGTTGAAAGCAGAGCAATTATTCATGTTTGAGACTTTCAAATTCGAGCCAACCAATCATTTTTTTGGTAATTTTTAACTAACGATTTTGTTAGCCCAAACAAGATTTGTTTGCCAATTTGTTCGTTTTTCTCTGAGTGTACAATAGCTCCCTTTGGGACTCCCTTTGGGCCGGGAAGTTAATAATAAAATCATCGCAATATCTTAAACGGAAGCTCTTATATTTAGGTGCAAATGTTTGAAAGGATTTTCAACATCAATCATTTCACGAATAAAATATTCCAGAACCACACAGAGAGAAATGTTCAAAAGTACGGAACTCACAATTCACTCACCGATTACAGAATCGATTCATAAAATTTAAGTGACAGTATCGTAATTTTTCGCAGGAGATTCAGGTAAAAATTACGGAACGCTCTGGCAAAATTCCGTGACAGTTCCGTAAAATTTTCTACAACCACATTTCGCTCCGGAATTACGGAAAAGATACGTAATTTTTATTGAATATTTCTCTCCGTGCACTCAAAATAAAGAATGAAAATGAGACCTCCAAAATTCAAATAACAAAATCGTCCCAAAATGTTCGGCAATCTGGGTTTAAGGATGTTTAGCCAGTGTCGGTAATTCAGTAATTTTTTCGGCTGACAGCAGAACATATAAAACCAACTTTTCTAACGTTGAAAAAAAATTAATCGCAATAGTCTCGGCAGAAATGAATAAACTAATTTTTCCTTATACACGAGCTCTTATGAAATTTACGTTCAAATTGATAATTCACCTACTAGAAGGTTCTAAAAATAGAAATAAAAATAGAAGGTAATGTGTAAATTCATACTGAATCCAATGGCCAGAGAAAAATCTGGGGTACCCGGGCAGAAAGAGGAAATATTTGAATGATTCTATCCCACATAAGCGCATGTTAGTGCATGCATTTGGTGCATGTTGTCTATTTTATTTCTAAATAATGAACATGGCCCGGTGGATTGAAATTTGCATCAAAGTGAAGGGAATATCTTCATCTCTCAGTTTAAAAAAAATCTAATTTTTTTTCAGTACTTGCGATTTTGGATAAATATCCTTAATTGAGCTTCAAGGGGAGACTACTATGAGTTTTAAAAGTCGAAGGCTACACTGAGAAAAAAAAATACTTTTACCAAGCAGATTTACTAACTACAAGAAAATTTACACATGTCGTATGCAAATATTTATATACATTTACTTGTGGCAAGTAAATATACTTGGCAAAAGCATTTATTTTCTCGGTGTATTGGAATAAGATTTCTCAAACATTGAAGATCGATTATAAATACTTAAAAACAAATAATTAGCACAAAAAAATTGTTTATTGTTAGATTGCCCCCAAGACGCTTAAAATGTTAAAAATAGTCCAGGGCGCTTTATTTTTAAGCTACAGAGTTTTTTTTCGAAATTTTTGAAAAAATGTGTGCAATAACAATTACGAATTAGTTTTTTGATATTCAACCCCTACACAACTAATTTCGTTATTTTTTTGAATAAAAATTGCACGATTCATGTAAAATAGCCCGAAAAATGTTTCTGATAGGATCGAGAATATATTTTAAATATTTCAAGGATAATTTTTCTGCCTATTTTACATGAATGGCGCGAATTTCTATGTTAAACAAATCGAAATTAGATGTGTAGGTGTCGAATTAAAAAAAAAACCTGTAGCTCAAGAATTGGAGGCCCTGGACTATTTTTAACACGTTAAGCGTCTGCGGGGCAAACGATCTATAAACAATTAATTCTTTTGCTTTAATTATTCGTTTTTAGACATATATAATAGATCTTCAATGCATGAGAAATTTCACTTCAATAGCGCGTGACTTTCAAAACTCATAGAAGTCTCCCCTTAATAAAAGGCTTTGATGTTTAACTACAAATTTCGAGACCAATTCAGTAGCGAAGTGGTAAAACGGTACAAGTCAATTTTGACTATTGACCAGTTTTCAATAAATATCTCGGAATGTAAGGGAGATAGCAAAATTTTTATTATAACCTTTTTTGTAGAGCCGATTGAGAGTTGTAACAAATGTAATTACCAAAATTTCGCTATCTCCCTTAGATTCGGAAATATTCCTCAAAAACTCAACGGGGAGATGAGTCAACTTAAACCGTTTTACCACTTCGCCACTGAATTGAAACAAGAAAAAGTCCAAAGTACTTATCAATCTCCGAGTCAATTTCAGTTCATGATCGGTTTTTGCAAAATATCTCTAAATTCACCAGTAATTCCAAATTTTTCGCAAGAATCCTTTTCGTAGCCTTTATTTTTCCCACCAAAAAAGTTTCAGCGAGAAAAACTACTGACTGGAACACTCTCCTCGATCCACATTCATGAAATAGGAAAAAACTAAATGAAATTATTACGTCACAATAACTTCAGGAAACGAGTTAAATCAAAATGAAATAATGTTGGTCATAACAGCATAATTAATTAATCACTTCCATCAACAGTCCAATTCATTCTTCAACTTCACCAACTGATCAAATTAGTTTGACATTACTGAATGAAAACAATGATTACATACCCCAGGATCAGTATTTAACTTAAGACGCCTCTGAGTCACTGTCTTTGATATTCTTTTACTGTACGATGCATTTCCAGCTGCCCTTGTACACCTCTCGCCGTCATCAACTAAACAGCATATCTGATCAGCTGCACCACGAGAATCCTCCTCACCCGTGCTAAACCCATTCATCGTAACTCTATTGCACTTGCAATCGTCCAAAAAAATTGTTCAACACTAAATCCACCTGATCACATGCCCCCTTTCCACATCCGCAAATTTTTTTTCTCAGAAAAAATTGTTCGAAAAGTGTTTTTGGGATGAGATTGGGCTCAAATATCATCCAAGCATTTCCGAGATTCCCTCGCAGTATCACATGTCTTTTTGTGAGTAATCATGATAGTTTTTCCATTCACAAAACTCTAAAGTTAATTTTCCAAATTTTTAAAATGTTGTTTTTTCACCTTCCGCTCCGAAATGACGAAGAATTAGTGATAAATCTACCGGTGCACCTCCTCCAATGTTTTCACACGATTTTTCATATATTTTGGGACGCGAGAGAGTGAAAAAATAACGGGAGTACACCCACTTTCCCCTGAATTCTCGATTTTTGACAGGAAAAATTGTTAAAACTCGAAAATTGACACTTTTGAGTGGAAATTTTTCTCACATTTTCAATCAACAGAACTGACGAGCCGCACGGCTTTATGACGAAACCCCAACTGACTCCTCATTCCTTCTCGAGTTGAAATAAAAGAAAATATATAGATATGATACAATACACTGGGTATCCGATGCCCTGACACGGTTATATACGTTTATTGTTGCTCGGTGAAAATTCCGGCATGGATAAACTTCCGTATGTTATGTCGGCGTTTCCAGGATCGACAACACTGAAAAATTAAAATATATTTTCACTCACTGAACGGGTTTCTGCGGTTCTCATTGGCTGGACGGAGTCGTTGGAATAGACCAATGAGGCAGGCTTCTGTTACTGTGCGAAGTTTAAAAATTTGTGGGTCTGTTATCTTAGTTCGCGAAGAGAAATTCATGCAAGTACTTTTGATAGTTAGAGATGCAAAATGACCGTCATTTTTTAGATCGCGTCATATGACCAAAAAATGACGGTCATGTGACGCACAAATTTTCCAACTACACATTGTCACAAATCATTTGTAACCAAATTGTTTTCAAACCATCTATATAGTTGCATAATGACGGTCATAACTAATTTCCAATTTGTGACGGTCATGAATAAAACAAAATAGTTTCATCTATATGGATGGAAAAAAATTGTGATTTCCATTTCAAAATGCGGATTAGGCCAATACAAAAGGAATTCAACTGAAAATTGATCGAGAAAAAAATAAAGTTTCATCTATATAGATGAAAAATGACTGTCATTTTTTCTTGACAAGTTGCGAAGGTCACAAAAGGGAAAGGGGGAATTGTGGCAGCCGTCATGAACGCCTCGCCATGTGACCGTCAATGACGGTCACATGACCGTCATGTGACAGATCATGTGACGCATTTGTATCTCTATTGATAGTTCAAATCGATCATTCTATAGATCCAGAGAGTGTGAATCGTAAAATTTTTCACGGGGATTTTTACAGATTGAAACAGATGGCAGTAGGGCGTCACCCACTATTCATCAGACGCACTTTTTGGACGAACAAAGAGGTGTCCGTCTAAAATTCCTTTGGCAGAAATATTTTGGAAAAAATTCCTTCAGAACAAATTATTTTGGAAAAAATTGCTTGACGAATAATTACTTTGGAAAAAAAATTGAGAAAAAAAATCTATGGAAATATTTATCCACAGAAATTAAACAATTGAATCTTCGGCACTAGTTGGCTCAGGTGGTGTGGGATTATTGATAGCTCGTCTGTTTCTTGCAGTTTTCGCCAATGACACCTGTACATCAGTAGATTAAGTGGAGGGAAATGGCGTTTATATGCAGGGATATAAATTTTTACAAGAATTTTTACAGGAGGATATATTGCATGAAAAAATTATTTCCGGAGGAATTTTTTCCCAAGGGATTTTTTCCAAAGAATTTTTTCCCAAAGAATTTTGTGCGGGAACCGAACAAAGAGAAGGTCAGGTGCATGCGATCCTTGTCAGATCCATTGAAGAGTGGGTGGCCACCTGGCGCCATTAGTTCGTGAATAGGCCGAAGAACCCCTAATTAAATTGCGCGAGAAAATCTGGAAAGAGTTGATGGGTTTTTAGCGTTATGCAAATTACAATTTTGCAGAACAATTTTTTTTCAATGAAAAAAGTCAATTGAGATTCCCTTAAATCCTCATTTATTAACTCGTTGAATTGTCAAAAATCTGACTTGTAATGAGTAATTTTTGTTAAGGAATAAATTTGACCGAATAATACGATTCGAACCAGGCTTTTTTTTGACGGCTAGAAAAATATTTTCACTTGTAATACCACAAGAGCGTCAAAATTATCGGGTATTTTCCGATAGGTTCGTTGCAACCAAACTTGACGACTTCGTTTGTGTGCAGGGAACCTTGAGAAAAATGCCCGATTAATTTTGAAGCTCGTGTGGTATTCGGGGGATTATTTTTCCAATCCAAATGTCGGGCAATATAATTGGATCATGAGCCAAAACTCACAATTGAGAAACGAAAATATAATATATAATTAACACAACGCCACAATTAAATTCAATCTGTCAGTTTGACGAGGGGTTAATTCGACTGCATGATGTTTTGTTTTTTATATAGCAACTACCAGAGAAAATTATCAAAAAATTATCAGTTGAAAACCCTGTCGCTTGTACCACGTGATGTCGAATGGGCCAATTATATTGCCCGATATTTGGGTTGGAAAAATAATCAGAAGTAAAAAGAAATTGTCGAATCCTCTCCCATCGAATTTATTTCATTAACACACCTGAATAGTAATGCAATAGAAAAATATGATAATGTATGTTTATTTTCTTCAGTCATACGTGAATAAAATGAAATGCACGTAAATCAAAGATCGTGGAAAAATTTCCCTCCGGGAACTCCGCTGCATTTGCAATATTCCTTTGATTCGACAATTTTCTTTTTATCCGTCTTACCGAATCTCCGAAACCTGCGTAGTCAGCTGATTGGTTCCTCCGAGTGACAATTATTACGATTAATATGATTAATACGATTAATACCATTCGAATAAAACGGGCTTCATTTCGAAGGCTGGAAAAATATTTTCAGAATAAAAAAAATCGTCGAATCCTCTCCCATTGAATTCAGTTCGTTAACACACCTAAAAATGAATAGTAATGCAATAGAAAAATATAGTAATGTATGTTTATTTTCTTCAGTCATACGTGAAGAAAATGAAATGCAGGTAAATCAAAGATCTTGGGAAAAATTTTCTCCGGGAACTCCGCTGCATTTCCACACGTCTGAAAAAATCGTATAGAAATTTTCTACACGGATTGTACATAGAATTTCTATAGGATTTTCGTATATGATATTCGGATATTTCCATACCGATGTTTTGCATATAAATTATTTCTATACAATTTCTATAGGTTTGATCCTATACGACCCATTGCCACATGTATAGAAACATTTCGTATGGAGTTGCGACATTTCTCTACGTTTTTCTCTGGAGCGTTTAAACATCTTTCGTATGAAAACAAAAATTTATGTAAAAATTTATGCATAGAAATAATTCGTATAGAAAATATCCGAATATCATATACGGAAATCCTATAGAATTTCTATACGCAATCTGTATAGAAAATTTCTATACGATTTTTTCATACGTGCAATATTGCTTTGATTCTATACAATTTCTTACTATCCGTCTTACCGAATGTCCGAAACCTGCGTAGTCACCTGACTGATTCCTCCAGGCGACAATTATTATGATTAATATGATTAATACGATTAATACCATTATTATTACATTATATTAATCCGATAAAATTTTTCATCTCCGATTTTTATTTTTTGCTATTTTTTATGTATTCTATCAAAATGTAAGGGTAGACACTGAATTCATGGGTATTCTTTCATTATTTGAAAAAATATATCAATTTTAAAAGTTTCCGGAGACATTGAAAAATCGAAATGTTTATTTTCTTGCTGATCACGTATCTCTGTTTTCTTTCACTTTCTTCCATTGAAATTAGATCATAGAAAGAGAACATATTGATATTTTTTCGTCATCTAAAAAAAATTAGTTTTGAAATTTTTGAGAAAAATTGAACATCGCTTTTTTTTACTTTCTTGTTGATTATCTCTCCCTGATTTTTTCTCATTTCCTCTCAATGAAATCTGATCATGAAAACGAAATTTTTCATTTTCATGATCTGATTTCCTTGAGAGGAATTATTATATTATACTGATATTATTCAACATAAATATCTCTTCTTTTGAAAATGAGGAAAAATTGTTCCCACAATTGGTATACTACAATGGGAATAGAATCCAATAAATTTAATTCAGTAGTGAAGTGGTAAAACGGTATAAATCAATTTTGACTATTGACCAGTCTTCAATAAGTATCTTGGAAACTAAGGGAAATAGTAAAATTTTTATTATAACCTTTTTTGTAAAGCCGATTGAGAGCTACAACAAATGTAATTACGAAAATTTCGCTATCTCTCTTAGATTCGGAAATATTCCTCAATAACTCAATTGGGAGATAAGTCAACTTGAACCGGTTTACCACTTCGCCACTGAATTTAATCTAACCGCAAAGAAAAATTGGAAAGAAAATAAAATAAATTAATATAATATAATATAATTCAGCAATGGGTTTCGTTCGCTAGTTCGAATAAAACGGGCTTCATTTCGAAGGTTGGAAAAATATTCTCAGAATAAAAAAAAAGTCGAATTTTACTCCGTCGTTCGCTATTTATTGGCAATTAAAAACGGTTTATTGACCACCCTCACTCATCAAATTCAGTAGCGAAGTGGTAAAACGGTTTAAGTCGACTCATCTCCCAGTTGAGTTATTGAGGAATATTGCCGAATCTAAGGGAGATAGCGAAATTTTCGTAATTACATTTGTTGTAACTCTCAATCGGCTCTACAAAAAGGTTATAATAAAAATTTTGCTATCTCCCTTAGATTCCGAGATATTCATTGAAAACTGTTCAATAGTCACAATTGACTTATACCGTTTTACCACTTTGCTACTGAATTCATTCCATTAACATAGGATAAACAGGTCAATTTCTGGACGATATTAACTTGTATTGAATATCCCATAAATGAAATGAAAATTGTATAGATTATTTCACCTTTCAATAATATTACTCGCGTATAATCATGTAATTTCGGCTGCATTCCATTATTTCTCAATTTAATTATTTTTTGGTTTGTCATTTTCACTTTAAATCATTTTTTTCTGCTAATTAAAATTATCTTGAAAGTATGGAAGCCATCATATCCCCATTTAGGTGATTCTTTTATTTTAGATCCTACCATGAAACTCGAATTCCCTTAATCGTCCAGCAATTGGCCTGTTCACCCTACCTAAAAATGAATAATAATGCAATAGAAAAAATAATAATAGACCTTTTTATTCTAGGAGTCACTAGATCTTCGTAGACTTTTTTCCCATGTTAATTCCCCTAGAAGATCATTATTTCTGAGGGCTCAAATCCATATCATCTTAAACGTCAATATTTATCTGAATTTTTCATTTCTCTGGAAATTTTCCAGTTCGATGAACGGAATAAATATTTCTCCTAGATTACCAGAATGAAAAAGTCTATTTTGCGAAAAATTCAAAAGTCGTCGAACAATAAATGTGACCGAATAATACGATTCGAATGAAACAGACTTAAATTTGAAGACTGAAAAAATATTGTCAAAATTTAAAAAAAAGTCGTCGAATTCTCTCC